TCTATACATACCTACGACACTTTCATAATGAATCCCGATCTTTGTTTGTAATTTTTGTAAATATCTAAAAACGTTCTTATTAAAGTTCTAAATGTCTTCATTTCAATTTACTTCACAGGTTATGTTCAGTATCAATTTCACTGCAATCTCAGGCATTAGTTCTAAACAATCACAAAACAAAGTCAAAATTCACGATTTAGTGTAACACATATATAATACTATACCAAGTTCTCACTCATATTTTTAAATTTTTGGGCCTGTCTTTATTCTTTTGTAACTTCATTTTAAACTCAACTTGTCCAGCTGTCCTTCATGTCTCTAGCTTTTATCGGCGATGTTGGATCCTCATCCCGACTCTGCCTTTTACGCTTTTTCCATCGTATTAACACGGGCACTCTCTGTTGACAAAGCAGCAAAACTTTGATCACAATAGCACGTCTTCTATACATACCTACGACACTTTCATAATGAATCCCGATCTTTGTTTGTAATTTTTGTAAATATCTAAAAACGTTCTTATTAAAGTTCTAAATGTCTTACCACTGTTCATTTCAATTTACTTCACAGGTTATGTTCAGTATCAATTTCACTGCAATCTCAGGCATTAATTCTAAACAATCACAAAACAAAGTCAAAATTCACGATTTAGTGTAACACATATATAATACTATACCAAGTTCTCACTCATATTTTTAAATTTTTGGGCCTGTCTTTATTCTTTTGTAACTTCATTTTAAACTCAACTCGTCCAGTATGTCCTTCATTTCTCTAGCTTTTATCGGCGATGTTGGATCCTCATCCCGACTCTGCCTTTTACGCTTTTTCCATCGTATTAACACGGGCACTCTCTGTTGACAAAGCAGCAAACCTACAGATTACAAACCTACGACACTTTCATAAAGAATCTCGATCTTTGTTTGTAATTTTTGGCTTTGATCAGGCAAGGCTTATCCTACCGCTGAGAACTTCGTGCAAATGACTTACGACAAAACTATACTCAATTTATACCGGCTAAGTTATTTTTGAAATATTACGTGCGCACACACCCTACAGGAAACTCAAAGTAACATCATCCGCCCAACTGCAAATATTCAACCCACGCACGCTACATATGTTATATTTTCTATGAGCCTGATTTGTCCACTGTTAATGTTATTGAGCGCTCAATATCGTATGGATACGGCAAATATAGTATTTTCCATATAAATTATTATCTATTTTATATCTATTTTATATTTATTCATTAAATAACACATCATATAATCCAGACTATATGATTACATAAAATTATAAGAATTTATTGAAATAATTGAGTAATTCCCTACTGGAAACTACTGTCAAATTAGCATCATCCGCCCAACCGCAAATGTTCAACCCACGCATGCTGCAGCAATATTGCTGGATTCAGGAACTTTTTGTTAAGCTCAGGTTTTGCCCAATTTTCTTCAACGTTTCCACAGAAGACGCATAAGGACCAGGGCTACAAAGTGCGTCTGGTAACCATATATGATTTCATTCTCATTTTTCCCTTATTGCTCTTCGAACTCAAAACAAGTTAGTTAGAAGGACGGCTTAGAAAGAAAGTTAAAAGAAAACCTATATTGTATAGCCACTCACACTTTTGTAGAGGCATCATTTGACTTTCTAAAAATATTACTTTAATTTGGAGGGATTTGATTGAGCAATACTTTTCGCGTCGGTGAAGTGGGTTTTTCTTTCGTCCGCATAATAAACGAAACCTTATTAATAAATGTTGAAATACTATATTAAATGATTAAACATTATCTGTACTATAGCTGGTCACTCATAATTTGTGCTAAATTTTTGAAATCACAGGCCGCTGCAATCTTTGTGAAATGTGAATAACGCCCGCAACGTGTCTCGTAACCTTAAAAAGGGTTCGCTTTATTAATATCTTAAAAAGGCATTTAAGGTAGAGGGAAAAAGTGTTTTTTTACTCTAGTCTAGACGAATTTAAATTATCGCAACGCTCTTCTGTCGTCAAGACTCAAGTATCCTGGCTCCTATTCCAATCCACAATTCTAGCGAAAGCATCCGAAATCACACGTTCAACTTCATATACAGGACGTTTGACAAATATATTTTCGGATCAGTATAATAAATATAACCGTATCATGGACGAATTCCAGCGTGAGGGTTCATGATAAATTGTATATGCATATGTAAATTATAATAATGTGGGAAGACATACATAGTAATCAATTTAATATTTGCATCTACGTGCATATATGAACGGTTACTAGCTATGCTTAACGTTATTTTAATTGGAATTATAAAATTTGCCGATTGTTTTAGCAAATATATTTGACATGGAAAATGTCTGGGTTCGTTAAGTCGTGAATATTCGATGTTACGATTGTCATGTTTGTCTTCCCGTGCTCAAGCTTTGTACATAGGAAATTTGCTGATTCACCGGAATGTTCCGGGTTGGCAAATATTGCAGCGTACAGCCACAACAATGAAAGCGATAATATGCATCCTCATCTGAAAGCAATAATATGCATCCTCATCTAGTTGAAGGGTCTTGTTGATGGAAATTATCGAATGGAAATATATACCATATGAGTCACGTTTTGTAATTAGGTGTGGCTTATTCTTGTTGGGAGTGTTGTTGAGCAAACAAGCCCAACGGAAGTCGCTAAACGGTAGTTGACAGAAACTCAACAGACAAATTCATAAAGCATTAATTTTGCATGCGAGAAATATTGCTTCTTTTCAACACTTTTCTCGTAATGTTTGATAATTTTAAAACAAGAAACGTCTTTGTAGCCCTGTAAAGTCTGTTTTGGATGAAGTACACAGAAATCGAAGCAAAAGTGAACGACAGCAATATTCAAATTGCGTATAGAACTACCTATAGGGAAGGAACAATCTGCTTGCAAATACATTGTCACAAGAAGGTTCTTTTCTACATTTTAATGTGAGTAGGCTAAGTGTTTACTAAGTGCTTACATAGTGTTTATTCGACTGATCACCATTTTGACCTACAAATATGTACGTCTTGTTGCTCTGTATATTTTCACAATCCGTAGAGTTTCGTGTGGATTTATTCCACCGCTGAGAACTTCGTGCAGCTGACTGGGTGACGAAAACTTCCCTGCTTATAACTAAGAGGGTCTGAATGGGGTTAACTGACTACTGACATTTGCCTGAATTTTTGACTGACAACTGACAAAATATCCTAACTGACAACTGAGAAATGATGAGTCAACATTTTGCAGTAACTGTCTATTGACAGCTTGCAATATATCGCACTGACAACTGGCTTAAATTTTAGCTGACACCCAAAGGCTCCCATTAAGACCCTCAACTAACCTTACAAGTTCTTTTTGAAACATTACGTGCGCACACACCCTACAGGAAACTCAAAGTAACCTCATCTGCCCAACCGCAAATATTCAACCCACGCACGCTACCGATATTATATTTTCTATGAGCCTTATAATTTGTCCACGAAATGTTATTGAGCGCTCAATATCGTATAGATATGGCAAATATAGTATTTTCCATATAAATTATTATCTATTTCATATTTATTCATTAAATAACACATCATATAATCCAGATTATATGATTACATAAAATTATAAGAATTTATTGAAAACATTAAATAATTCCCTACAGGAAACTTACACCCAAATTAGCATCATCCGCCCAACCGCAAATATTCAACCCACGCATGCTGCAGCAATATTGCTGGATTCAAAAACGTTTTGTTAAGCTCAGGTTTTGCCCAATTTTCTTCATCGTTTCCACAGAAGATGCATAACGACCAGGACTACAAAGTGCGTCTGGTAACCATATATGATTTCATTCTCATTTTTCCCTTATTGCTCTTCGAACTCAAAACAAGTTAGTTAGAAGAACGGTTTAGAAAGAAAGTTAAAAGAAAACCTATACTGTATAGCCGCTCACACTTTTGTAGAGGCATCATTTGACTTTCTAAAAATCTTACTTTGGAGGGATTTGATTGAGCAATACTTTTCGCGTGAAGTGCGTTTTTCTTTCGTCCGCATAATAAACGAAATCTTCATAGATGGTGAAGCTTTGTATATAGGAAATTAGCGGATTCACCAGAATGTTCCGGGTTGACAAATATTGCAGCGTACAGCCACAACAATGAAAGCAATAGTATGCATTCTCATCTAGTTCAAGGGTCTTGTTGATGGAAATTATCGAGTGGATAGTTATATACCATATGAGTCGCGTTTTAGGTGTGGCTTATTCTTGTTGGGAGTTTTGTTGAGCAAACAAGCCCAACGGAAGTCGCTGAACGGAAGTTGACAGAAACTCGATGGACAAATTCACAAAGTATTTTGCATGCGAGAAATATTGCTTCTTTTCAACACTTTTCTCGTAGTGTTTGATAATTTTAAAACAAGAAACGTCTTTGTAGCCCTGTAATGTCTGTTTTGGATGAAGTACACAGAAATCGAAGCAAAAGTGAACGACAGCAATATTCAAAATGCGTATAGAACTACCTATAGGGAACGAACAATCTAATCTGCAAATACATAGTCACAAGAAGGTTCTTTTCTACATTTTAATGTGAGTAGGTTAAGTGTTTACTAAGTGCTTACATGGTGTTTATTCGACTGATCACCATTTTGACCTACAAATATGTGCGTCTTGTTGCTCTGTATATCTGGTATTTTCACAACCCGGAGAGTTTCGTGTGGATTTTTGGTTTTTGAAATCGACAAATTTTGGTCAACGATTCCATTTAATAGTGTGGCCCCCAAACACAATGTTTTTTAAAAAGACTTTGAGATGTTTTATCGCAAAGTAGAGGCAGCATAATTCGGTTGTTTTCCACCCTGGCTCTGTTGCTCTGTAATAGCGCCAAGAAAAATATTTTTTGTTATTGCCGTTGTTTATTGTCTGCTTCCTTCGTAGACGACGAGCACTCCCTCAGGAAGAAGGAGAGATTGCCGGCAACACACCAAGAAACGAAATATGCGTTGCCCAGCCTAGACCTAGGCCTTTACTCGGCTGGCTTTGGCAAGTATCTTTGGCAGGTTTGGTCAATTTCCGGCTAGCATTTGGTAATTATCGCAATGGTCATTTGCCTCGTAAAGCAGTGTGACCATATTCAGTATATTTTTTACTATTGGTAAAACTTCGACAATTTTGATAGAAATTTGGTAAAAGAGATTTTTTAGGAAAATTTTGGTAAAATTTCTTAAAATTCAAGGATTTGGTAACTTTTTCGGTAAAATTCTATTAAAACGTTTGATGATGACCAGAAAACCCTGCAAAGTGCGAAGTACATGCCTTCCTGTTGCTGTGGCGATGGCTCACTTCTGATTTCTGAATCGGAGCCTGTGTTCTGTTTGCTCATTGCATGCTTCAGGTTACGTCATTTAATTTGTCACCTCTTTTGAACGAATAACATGAAATAAGGCGCGCAGCTGGAAATTGGGCATTTGACGAATTTCATTTCGAAATTTCAAACTTACATTTAATTAAAAATATGGATTTAATGGATAGTATTTTGCCTGAATCAGACTCCGAAACTGATTCAGACAAAATACCCCCCCCCCCCCCCAAGGAGTGGGTGGGTAAAATCCAAATCTGGTAACATTTTTTGCCTATTTAGTAAAATTTTGGCAAAGGTTTAGCAAAATCCGCTGACAAACATCTGGTCACACTGTCGTAAAGGCCTAGTAGATTTCACAAGCTCTCAAATTAGCCCCATAACTTCTTGATCCGAACTTGATCAGAAACCAACAACTAAAGCAATTTATACTGTCCAGTAGTTATTACATTAACTATAAAAACATTTTGTGACTAAACTAACCTATTATTAGTTTATAAATGTCGCGTTAAATTGTATTAACTCTTTCATTACGGGTCACATGATCATGGGTCCACCTCGACGGTCGGCGTTAGATCATATCGAACTAAAATACCGGAAGTGCAAGTAACCGGTTTTAAAATATTTAATTATTACAGCAATGGCGATGACACAGGAGTGAACGAATACGATATTATTGATATATCACCATATCTTACATATTTTATATATCTGTCTTTAGCTTCAATTGATTTACCTTAATATGATGAACGACTTGTGTTACTAAATTGCTATGCTTACAGGATTTATAAAGTACATGCGTTTTTAAATTAAAAAGTATGGATTGACCTTCTTGCCATCTTTATCCCCGAGCCGACGGCGCGAAGCGCCGTGCGAGGGTACTAATTCCTCCCGGCTATTTACACCCGGGGAAACGAAAGCATTAGCGAAGTCTAAAGTTCATCAAATATCGCGGGCGTGGGTCACCAAGCGTGGGTGGTCATCCTCACTGATCTCAAGAATATGGCGGACTGTCATGAATAACAAACACTGTGATTGGTCCAATTTAAAGTTTGCATTATAACGACTGCATGACGACAGCGAAATAGCAAACATTTCTTTATTTAAGTTCTTTCAATGTTTGCATGGCGATAAAATATAATTGTTTTTGTTTGTGGAAACACCACGTAAATTTATTACTGCAAAGCTTTCGATCCGTAAGCCCGGATCTTCTTCAGTGCACTCATATATAATGGAGTGATTAGTTAAGATGACGCACGAAACATCATCATTCATTCCTATTTGGACGCTTTACTTCTAAATAATAGGTTTACTCTATGATCTATGGCAAGAGCAGTCCCGCACCAGACTCCATGTGCACGTCATGTCCACGTCAAAGTTTCTGTTCAGCTCTAAACTAAATGTGTTTTTAGCCAACGTTTTAAACATCATAAGCTGGAAAGTTTGGAGAAGTGGAAGTGACCATAATACTGTTCCAGAGCTTGACTATACGGTTGAAGTGCGATCCTTGGAAGTGTGTAAGGTGTAAGTTTTTAGAGTTCTCGCTTCGCTTAACCTAGTACGTCCGTGGGTTACAAAGGAAACAAAGTTATTGATATCCAAATTTATATACCCGTGCATTGCCTTGTAAAAGAAAACCAAATCCTTTACTTCGCGATCGTAACATAATGGCAATAACTTCAAGGTCACCAGTCTTTCCTTGTACGACTGTTCACCTTTTCGTTGCTTCAGGATCCACCTCGTTGCCCTTCTTTGAACATTTTCAATTTTGATTTTCAGTGAAGTGAGTGCTGGAGACCAGACTTGGGTAGCGTAATCGAGGTGGCACTTCACCAGGGAGAGGTACAAGGAACGCCGCACTTTCGTGTTGGTCAGCAAGGGGCATGTCCTACGTAAGAGTCCAAGTATTTTGTTGGCTTTGCACACCACAACGAGGACTTGTTGATCCCAAGTGAGGTGGTTGGTAATGATACATCCCAGGTCTTTTTCTTTTCTAACGTGGACCAGCGTCGTATTTCCGAGATGGTAATCAAAACATAGTGGATTGCTTTTTCGGGTTACTGTCAATACCTTACACTTCGATGCGTTAAAACTAATGTTGTTGTTATGGCTCCATATACTCAGATGATTCAGGGATTGTTGCAAGCTTTCACAGCTACCGAAACAGGATATGCTCTTGTAAAGTTTCGCATGGCTAGAAATCCAATACAGTATGCGGTTTGACCTGTAGGCTCAAATTTACATAAATTGCGGATTTGCATAAATTAATTACTTGGTATTAAACATTGCGGTTCATTTCTACAAGGAGTTGAACGAGTTAAATAGTCTTGTTCTGTGCAGCACAGCTGATTTTTATAGCGAGAACAAGACTAAACGCGGCAAATATATTGTGAATATCTAAAGCCAAAAGGTCAAAACTATATCCTGCGTACATTGAGCTAATTAGCATATGCGAATGAAGGGCTTGCAATTGCTAATTTCTATTGCAAATAGCAATCTAATAGCGGAATATCATACATGTTTAATACAACAACTCAGCGTAAACACTGTAAAAATATATAAGAAACAATTTATATGTAAAATGCCTCTTTATTGACCTTTATTGATGAATTTCGTAAATTGCGAAATTTGATTCCGAACAGAAAGTGTATATTTACCAAGCCAAATTTCAAATTTTACCGCTTATTTGCGCTTTTATTTCTGCATCCACGATCAAATAAACATTGCAGCGGTAAACACCATGAAAACCATAACAACAGTTCTAAAATGGCGACAAGAAAGCACTGTATTGCTTCGATTTTCATGTCGTGTTTAGTGTTTATGATCGGCATTTGATCGATCGATTGACAACGACTCTGCGGCACTTAAATCGCACTTTTTTTATGGCGTTTGGGAACCTACTTAAAGACAGAGTTACGTCCCAAAAGGCTTCGCAAAACAAAGAATAAATATTCTCGAGTGTATTTAGATGTGCACATCACAGCCAAACCGACTGATTATTGCCAAAATAAAGGCTTACTTTGGCCAACTTTGGCCAATTGTTGTGATTTAATAGACACTTGTATGAGGAATAAGAGGTAAGAATCTATCGAGCTAGGGAACTCATTTAGCCTTGTCAATTTCTCGCGAAATTTGTTCTAGTTAATATTTGTGTTATATAATGACGTTTTAGATGTGCACATCTGAGAATTTGTAAGGTTATGAAACAAAAAATCAGAAATATAATTTTGCCTTTATCAATTATATACATTGGCGCCATTTTGAATTTATTTAATTTGCGCTCTGCACGCATGCTTTTCCGCCATACTGTATTGGATTTCTAGCCATGGAATAATCACTCCATGCAAGAGAGTTTGACTCTAGCTTGATCTCCAAATCATCATTCGCTCTTGTTTGACCGTTTTGCTACTTTCATTGTTTTCATAGTTTTATAATATATATATATATATATATGTATTTATAAATATCTGTTATTACTTATTATAGAGAAGGGAGGTGTCTTGCATGGGACATCTATATAGCCTCGTTCGCACCTTCAGTTTTGGGCCAGTTGATATTGAACTAATTATTTTAAATTAATTTATTGCACCAATAAAGTTGTTAAATAAGTGCTAATAATATGTGACTTGTTTAATTCACACGCTCTTTTTTTTATATACAAGACGCGCGCGCATCCAAGACAAGAGAAATTAATTTTGCATATTAAAGAGAGCACGCCACGTACTATCTAGTGGCTTTCCCTCCTGATCTATAGTATTGTGTATCTCGATTTCAATTGATTCTCTCATTTTGCGAGAGAACTTATGACTATCAAACGCCACAAAGTATACAGCAGAAGATTGAATATCAGTCGTCTGTTTGTCTACCATACATTGGTCCAGCTTCTGAGCTTTACTGACACAAAATCGAAAGAATTTTGAGGAATGAAGCAGGTATAAAGGTATACCATTCCAGCGAAAACAAATTGTTTCGAGCTCTTTGCACACATAAGGACAACGTAAATGAATTTCAGAAACCTGGTGTGTACCGTATTCCTTGTGAATGTGGTCTGGTTTACATTGGTGAAACTGGTCGAAATCTCTCAGTACGTCTTAAGGAACACAAGACGAATTGCGAGAAAGCCGAGCAAGATAAATCTGCTGTGGCTAAACATACTTGGACTTACAACCATCGTATAAAATGGGACGAAGCAACCATTTTGGCGATTGATAGTCATAAGTTCTCTCGCAAAATGAGAGAGTCAATTGAAATCGAGAAGCACAATACTATAGATCAGGAGGGAAAGCCACTGGATAGTACGTGGCGTGCTCTCTTTAATGTGAAAAATTAATTTCTCTTGTCTTGGATGCACACGCGTTAATTGGAATCACTTCACTACGTTTGAAATGACGTGGTTGGTGTGCCGTTTAATTAAATTTCAAATGACGCGAGCCAACAGATCACGACACTGTTGTATATAAAAAAAGAGCGTGTGAATTAAAACAAGTCACATATTATTAGTACCACAGAGTAGAGACATACAGAGACGTAACCAGTGTACCCACCTTTTTTGTGCGCATGCTCGGCAAGTTACTAGATGCATGCATCTGATTGGATGACGACCTGATGACGACTCACTTTAAACTTGCTGAGCACGCGCAGTTGATCATTTTTCGCCCGGTCGCCTGAAAAAAAGTGGGTACATGATAACGTAATCTTCCGCAGTGTTTACAACGGTCAGTTACGTCTCTGTATGTCTTATCTACTCTGTGTTAGTACTGAAGAAGATCCGGGCTTACGGATCGAAAGCTTTGCAGTAATAAATTTACATGGTGTTTCCACAAACAAAAACAATTTTATTTCTTTATTTGATGATTAATCGATCGATAAATTTCTTGCAAATATATTTCATTTTTGCTCGCATTTTTGCAAGATTTTGTAAATTTCAAGAAAGAAATGGCGAAAGAATCGGCTAAAAGAAGGGAGCCGACGTTAACGAAAGTAAGTTTGTTTTAAATATTGATTTTATAATTGCTTTAAAACCCGACGGCCTTTGCGTATATGATACAACTAAACAAGACAGCCTATCGGGCCCCATTTCAGTGGATCTTTAACATTGATTCCCTTTTTTATTATATTGATTTTTTTTAAATAAAAAAGAAAGCAAAGTTATTTGCATGCTACAATTTGAAATCATTTTATTGCAAACTCAAAGTTTATCGATAAAGCCATTTAATTAAAGAATAAAGGCAGTTTAGTTTTATAAAGAACACTTTAAAACGTTTTGCGAAGCGTTTGTGGTTGAATTTTACCTTAAATTGAAGCTTATATTACGTATAATATCATACCTAACATATATATGTTGGGAAATTGATAATTTTGTAACTAAAAGTGATATTTTTAAGCGATTTTTTATTTGTAAGAATATTCTGAATTTTCTTAAAAAATTATCGTGTTTTAATACCATGGCAACTACTTTGGATACTTCTTGTTCGGAAAATACAATGGTTTTGTCAGCAAGGGCTGCAAGGCGAGGGTTTCTGCATGCATGTATTTTCTAGTAAATATATAGGTTTTTAATTTCCTAGCAGTGGCAGGCAAATATTTCTAAAAATCTCTAAGAGGACTTTGTTGTTGTTATTGTTGTTGTATGCATTGTAAATCACATTGGAATATATAATCTTTTGTATACTCAGAATTTTAGTCCTTGCTAATTGTAAACAAAGCCAGGGACCTTTACCCACGTGCATAAAAATAATATCAATTTTAGGAAACTGAGCACGATATTTAACAACTATTCACTGAAGTGAAGGTGAAGAGTGCAAGGATATTCATAGAGCCACACAGCGGCAAGGTGAGTATCCTTTCACTATTCACCCACACTGAGGGAATAATTGTTTTAGCATATACCACAAAATTGAATATTCAGTTCAATTTTGTAGTTTATTTTATAATTCGTACCAGAGCTCCCCACTTTCGTAGCTAAAAGTGTTGTAAACAAAACAGTATTTATTAACCCATTGAGTCGCATTGCTCCCAGATGTGCCCTACTTTATTATTTTACTCTGTCTAACGCCAGGCGATTTGAGTCGTCAAGGCGTTTAATGGGTTCAATGAAGCTGCAGTTCCATGAAACACCAAACAAGCAACAAAGTTTGGTTAAGCAGTGTTTACAGGTATTTTTAAAACTATTTCTAATGAATAAATTTACTAAAAGCTTGTAAATACTATTTTGTTTACAATATTTTTAACTACGAGACGGTGGGAGCTGTGGAGCGAATTATAAAATAAAAATTGAACTGAATAATCAATTGTGTGGAACATGCTAAGGCAGTGGCGGAAATCTTGGTGGGGCGGGGGGCGGCCGCCCCTACCCCCCCCCCCACCTTCACAGAAAATTGACGAATTTTCGGAAATTTTGACCTTGACGAATTTTCGGGAATTTTGACCCCTCCCCCGGAAAAAGTGAATTACCGCCACTGTGCTAAGGCAGCTCGATGAATATCCTTGCACTTGTCACCTTCACTTCATTGAATTATTGTTAAATATGGGAAAGTACAAAACATGGACCCCCGGTTCATGGACCCCTTGTCTGGACCGGGTCCATTGACCCCCTCTATGGATCGGGTCCATGGACCCCCTCCACGGACCCCTCCATGGGCCGCATTTTTCCAAATTTCAATATTACTGTTAATTAAACATGATCCGAGTTTTCAATTTTTAAAAATATTTTAGTGGTTTTAAAGCATACTTTTGTTCTGAGCAGCAAACCTCATCTACACTCCAGTGTTTTTTTCATACTAAAGCGAGGCTTGCTAACGACATCTCATGACAAATCAATGCACCATGTGAATAATAATAGTGTTACTGACTTGCAAAGCCGGTCAATGAAATTAAAGAAACCACTGCCAGCAAAGTGTTGAAATATTATAAACCACTTTCAGTGATTGTGCATCTTAATTAGCCTTCCTGATTTAATATACAAAAACGTGTTTCAATTCGTCTCTTATGAAAGTGGTCTAAAGGCACTGTTCATAATCAGCAATTTGATTTGCTTCGATTAATCATATGTATTACATTTATCCATTTACTTTTTTCATAGTAATAAAGTTCAGGCATTTAGGTGTCGAATGCTTCCTTTCTTGTATCATTGTGATAAAAAATAGCCAAGTACGATCCGATTTCGCATTTTTCCACCATTCGGAATTGTATGTAAAGCTATTGTTTGAATATTGAAATTACTCTCATTTGGGATTCAAGTCCCTTGAGTAAATATGGCGCAATGCATGTCTAAGCATCAAGATTTGATAAATCCGCATGCAATTGTATATCGAAATTGAACAACACTAGAAGCGTTTCCAAAATGGCAACAAAAATTTTGGGCGTATGTTCGAACATTGGAAGAACATTTAAATCCCAGAGGTGGAAAAATGCGAATTGAACCGATCACTTTAAATCAGATCACATTTGGTCACTTTTTATTGCAATCATTTCATAAAGATGTCACTTGAAGGCTAACAGACAGATCTTTATAAATACGAAAAACCTATTAACGGGTTAATTAACGCACAGTAACATGTCAAAGTTGGATTATCTTTGTTATACACCCTGTATACAGAGTGTCCCCCAAAAAAGTACACCTTTTGAAATTTTCCTATTGTAATAGTTTGAATGTCTGAGCATTATGCTGCTGAATCCACGGAAGCGTCAAATACAGGGTGTATTGAAAAACGAGACCTGAATAACTCTATTCTTGTTAAGTATACAAGGTTATTTACTCCTGGGAATTCAAATTAGCTTATTAGCTTCTAATACTAGAAATACATGCATACAGCTACCCCTCGCATGTATTTTCCAAACATTGATTCAACATGAAGTATTAGTAATTGAGTCAACACTGAACGCAGGCTCGCATTTACGTCAGTGTTGACATGGCAACACGATAATTTTAACTTTTATTATACTTTTGTACAACACGGCAAAAATATTTGAAAGATTATTCCTTTTAACTATGCCTACAATGAATTTCCGAAATGGCGAAATATGTACTGTAGGTATGTTGTTCTGGATTTTGTGAGTTTTGATTTAATGTAAAATTTAACCTGAATCGCTTCGTAAAATGTTTTGAAATGTTCATTTTAATAACTAAACCGCTTTTGCCGATAAACTGTTTTTACCTAATAAAACAATATAAGTTCAAATTGTTGAGTAATTCGCGATCGGTTTTCAAATTAATTTGCCCTCCTTTACATTTTATCTTTTTTCTTAATTATATTAAACAGGGACAGGGTAATTTAGCAAACTTTAATACAGCTTTATTGCAAAGGAAAGCAGTGCATGTTTTAATACGCAATAAATTAAAGCAACAAAATTCATAAACATTAAACATTCAAAGCAAACTTTCCCTATACTTCACGATTTCCACAGTAAGTCAATTCATCTAATTTCTTCAAACAAAAATTGCTTCAAAGCTCATTGTGTGAAACGTGATTTTCCAAATATATGCTTTTGAAAATTGAAATCTTGCTTATCCAACTCCAGGCAAACAGCCAAGTTTTTGAGATCAGTGAGGATGACCACCCGGCACTCACGGTTGGTCACCCACGCCCACGATCATTGATGAACTTTAGACTTCGCTAATGCTTCCCTTTCTCCGGGTGCAAATAGCCGGGCGGAATTAGTACCCTTGCCCCGGGCTAACGCCCGGAACGGCGCTCCGCGCGTTTGGCTCTGGGATGTAAAAGTCTTATGCATGCTAACATAATTTCAATACTAAAAAATACATGCATGCAGAAACTCCTCGCCTTGCTGACAAAACCATTGTATTTTCCGAACATGAAGTATTTAAAGTAGTTGTCATGGTAACACGATAATTTTTTAAGAATCTTTTTTGAATAATGAAAATCCCTTAAAATGTCACTTTTAATTAAAAAATTATCAATTTCCCAAACATATGTTAGGTATGTTATTATACGTAATATAAGCTTCAATTTAAGGTAAAGTATATGCTATCTTCTTTCATTATACGCAACGATCAGATTTTAATAAGGGTTCTGCTACCTGAATTTTTTTTTCGCGAACATATGATGCAACATCGGCTCCATCTTATTATGATTTAATGCATATGCAACATGCACTTATTATTATATCATTGTGAAGCTTATAACATGGTCGGCTCAAATATTATCACAGATGAGCTACCAAGAAAAAAACTTAAATGTATAACAATCTTGCAAACCAGAGAAGTGAATTTTTAGCTTTCTATATTTAAAATCTATCTAGTCAAAATCTAAGCATCCAAACTTGACGAATTTAAGTTGAATAAAAGAGTACATCCCTGTGAACAAAATAATGGATGCTTTTTGTCTAATTCTCTATTTTGTTGCCATGGCAACAAGTATTAGGTAAGGATCTTACTCATCAATACCAATTTTGGTGTAGAACATTCAATTTTGATCAGAGTGTAAAAAGCATCCATTAATTTGTGCAGAAACATCCAAAGAACAATCTTAGAAAAAATCAGCAAGATTGCTTAAATACTCTTTGAGAAGATAAGATTTAAGTAACGGCTGCTAGCCAAAATACGGTTTTTGGGAAAAACGCCATTTAAAGTTAGTAAACAATGTTGCTAGTGTTTTCTGACGTTTGGGTGCAATGTACCTGTCCAAAGTCAACACTTATCATTGCAAGAATGTCACAGTCACTTTTCTTGATTTCTACTGGCAAATTGACCCAATGGTGCATCACCAGTGTCATTAGACTCATCATTACGAGCAAATCTGGCTAACGGATAGTCATCTTCATCATCACCCACCGTACCAAATGGCATACTCAGCAGAATCTTCACCAAGATCCTTCTTTGCTGATGTACACTCTGAGCACAGCTTCAACTCAAAATTGAAATCAAGTACTTCGCCAGTTTTAACCGAGATGACAAAACCAACCCGGATATTAGCTGTGTATCCTAGTTTGGACCACATATCATCATAGTTCACCACAATCTCTGCGACATCAGTTTCATCAGAGCGATGAAGTCAAAACACTTTGTTTCTCGCCTTCTGTAACTGTTCCGCAACAGCTTTCTTGTGGGCCACATACAGTGCAGCAACATGTTGGTCCCAAGCTTTATGATGGCAAGGGGAGGGGGGCATATTGAAAATGTCACACATAACTGACATACAGTAGCCTCTCTTCCTACACCCACTCCATTCCGGAGTAAACCATATGCCTGTTTGTGTCCATCATCCATGGTATTTTGGGGCTTTCACACTTGGCTGTTGTTCCCAGAGGTTTGAAGCTCGATCTTGACGTCGCATTTGGAACACTCTACATTGATCACAGAGCTATTCCCAATCTACGGGCCTCGACTTCGCTTATTCTCAACTCTCCTCCAGATGCCAATTTATGTAAAGACTGTAAAGGCTGAAACGCACTGACTAAATTTGACAGCTCAATCAGTCTATAGCTGTGTGGCCCCATCAAAATCTTCGCTTCTTTCATTACTCTGACTCGTTTCATACCTTTCATACAGAAGCAAGCACTGGTGTACACGCTGTTGTTTGAATTTGATGTGTCAACATCCCATCGACTCTGGCCACGAAATGCCGCTTTTTTATATTTTTGGCATTGCAAAGAAAATATAATCTCTAAGAGACTATTTTCAGATACCAACAAGCAACAAAATAAAATAAAATACAAACAAAGTGTGAATCTTTGATGTGTTTTCAGCTCTATATGGCAATGTTTTCGACCAGTGAAGAAAAATGTGGTCTAGAATAGCTATGCGACCAGGCCTTACCTTGTTACCAGTCCCACAAACAACCAAGAAACAAGGCATAACGTATAAAATACACTCACCCGTTTCCATGGTAACGTGAAAATTGCTTGCCTACCCTTTCAAACGGATGAAATTCTGTGAGGGACCAAAGTTCTACCAGGCCATTATTTTGGTAGTAGAATCCATATTAAAGCAATATAAAGCAAACAATGCATCAATATTTAAATCAAACTTACCTTTGTTAACGTTGGCGCCTTTACTCTTCCAATTCTTTCGCTTTTATTTTATCAAAAAGCTTTTGAAATTCACAAAATCGTGCAAAAATAAAATGTATTTGCAAGAAATCATCAAATCAAGAAATGTTTGCTATTTCGCTGTCGTCATGTAGTCGTTATAAAGCGACAAAATCACGTTTATGTTCAATTTTATGCGATGTTTCGAACAAAGTCATAAAACTACAGGGCACTCTCCCCCCAGCGAATTAAGTTATGTATTATGCATAAAATAAGGGGGTCCACTACCAAAATTTTTTTCTCTATCTTTTACTACTATGAAGTTCTAATATGTTGTTAGGTTCGACTCTCTGACAAAAAAATGTGTTGCTGCAAAACATTGTTGCCATGGTTACCTTGATAAAGCGCTCCCCATCGTGAAAATTGATACAATCTTGTATGCAGGATTGCTAGATAAGCATTAAAGGTAAAATCCTGAAATAACTTTTATTTACAAACTAACAAGATTAAACCTAAAATATCAGCATTGTGTCAATAACAACATTTTTGCCAAGCAATTATTCGACATGTATACAGCTGTCCACAAAGCAACTGTTACTAATTTCAAAACTATTCAACTTACTCTAAATATTTTTCGTTTAGCTCCTAGAGCAATACATGGTTAGTTTATCCTAAAAATTTCATCAAGATAGCTTAAATCGTTCTTGAGATATCCTGCGCGCAATCATGGAAATCGGCATTTTTCGCCAATTTGAGGAAAACGTATTTAAAGTTAAACTTTCATTTTATCAACAAGAAAGCCGCCTTAAAATGGCATTATAGTACTAAACGTCAATAGCTACCATTTCAGAATGCTCCTGCCTTGTATGTAGTACCCTCTTTCTCTTTTGTATTGTCCTGTTTCTTCTTTTTTTGACCACGCAGGATCTTTCTAATCTTCTTCACCGCCGGAGTGTTTCTTTGGTCAGCTTTCTTTACCCGTTTCTTGTCAGCTTTCCCAACCCCGTATTCAAAAATTTGTCCTGGAACCAAACCAAGTTCGCTAAAGATTGTTGTTGCAGCCTTGGAACCAATATTGAAGTGGGCAACTACATCATATGCACCAAACTCCAGCACATCCTTTTGTTTCTTTCTTCAGTTTCCGTAGTGCCGTCCCAACTCGCTTCTGGACATGACCGACACATTCCTTCTTTTCCACACGTATGTTTCCATAAGCATTTTCCATTTCATTATACGGTTTGCTGTCACCATCTCCAAAGTACTCTGTATATTGCAGCTTACGTGTCTCCTTGCTCCTTCCAAATATCCTCTTGATCCCTTATGTTTCCATAGATGGCGCTGATCCTTGATAGTTTGCCTTGCACTGATGTCTATCCAGCATATCAGCTTTTTTTAAAGCATCTGTTTGTTTGTCAATCCTTTGACACCCACGGCAAACGTTTGTCATTATTTCAACATCTAAACATTTACCAGTGTCTATCGACAAGGCTGTAACACAACCGTTTAATGAAGAATACCCGCGTCGCTGCCAGGTTCCATCACACGAAACACCACACTTAGTTATTGAGTTACAATTCTCTTCATGCAATTCATTCGCAGCATCTTACATAGTTTTCATAGCCACAGATTTTGCGGCTTTCGACAAGGCAGCATTACTAGCATTGTATGCTTTATAATGTAATGGTGGTGGCACGTTCATGTAGGAGCAAAAGCCTTTCATCGATGCATGTCCTTGTCCAATACTTCTCATGGAATAAACAAAACTTCGGTTGATGTCAAAAGAATGTTGTACCTTCTTTGAAGTATAAAAGGTATAAACCCATCCACAATCTTTACACCGTACTCGAAGATGAGAAGCACTGCCTTTTCCCTCACGTGGTTCATCCTCTAAGACAAGGCATGAATTTCCACACTCTTTACAAACCATCTGAGTAAAAAGTTCACGAAGCAATTCCATGTCAATGAAATGGTACCCGGTTACATTTGGCTTACTTTGCGTCCCAAATTGTGGATTTTGGGTGACTACTTTTCGAGCAGAAGCGGAAACGGTATGATCTGCTTCGGTCGATGTCGATTGCTCAGAGAGCTCAGTGGTATCATTGTTTACACTCTCGACTACAAGAGGTTTTGTAATGTAAGAATTGATTTCATTGTAATAATTGATTGCCACGAAATTTCCGTTTTCTTGGTCCTGAACCTTGTCATGGCATTGTAAATATACAATTTAATAAGAATCGAAAACAGCTATACCCAAATCCAAAAATATCCAACAGCAAACTACACAAAATTTACTTGAAAGTTTGATCACCAAAATGAGCTTCAAAACGAAGCCCACAAATTCCAACAAAAATTTTCAGCGGCTTTTTCAAATAGGCAACATACCCTACTTCATGTAATATATGCAAAATAGTTACAAAATAGCGTCTGATGGGTTTTTATACGGTTTTTACGAACAAAACAGCCGTTGTTAAGGGCGTTGTTAGGGCAAAAATATGTGAAAGCCTTAGGAATTTTCTCATTTTCTTGGATTTCAAGCTTTTTTACGGAATAAAAACCCACACATATGATTAACAACAGTTTATAGTATATAAATCTGTGTATTTTAAAAATTCACAAATTTCAGAATAAAAGTCAAATTTTTGGTAGTGGACCACCTTATGCATAAACTAGAAATACAAGTATTAGTAATCAATCAACACTGAACGCAGGCTCGCGTGTACGTCAGTGTTGCCGTAACAACACGATCATTTTAATTTTATAATTTATTATACTTTATGTACCACGCTGGTCATATTCAGCAAATTTTCTCCCAGAACCACGGGCTCGTATTTTCAGCGGACTTGCGGTGAAAAATTGAAACTTTTACATTTTTCGAAGAACTGGTCACTGGCCACTTTATGTAAGATGTCCGTTGACAATACGAACCCGAACGAGTGGTAGAAATTTTTCTAAATTTCACCGACGTGTACAACACGGCAAAAATAATCGAAGGATTATTGCTTTTAACTATACAACGAAGAATTTCCGAAATATGTACTGTAGGTATGTTGTTCTGGATTTTGTGAGTTTTGATTTAATATTATACCTCAAATTCAAATTGCCCAATAAAATAACAGCATTTGTACCACGTGACAATGTGATTTTTACGGTATTTCAGTAAAATTCATGATTTCGCAATGCAGCGTGAGATACTATAATATCCCACGGCAGATCCAACGTGGGATATTATAGTATCTCACGCTCACGCGTGACGCGTGGACACCACGCTCTGAAACAATATGGCGTTCGCGAACTGTTGTTTGTAATTTCGTACAGAAGATTTATTGATTTAACCAAAGATTTTCAAGACGTATGTTACCTTCAATGTTCCAAAGAATGTATGCTCAAAGATTTTAAAGAGAAAACGTCAAAAACACAGGTATACGTAAGAAATTAAAAGTTGTATTCGTTTTATAGTTTTAAAGCAAGTTTTAAAGTTTATTCTGAACTTAGTGGATTGTTCAACTTTCGGTATAATATATCATTTAGAGACCCTCCGCTCGGGGGATTCGTCGAAACATTACCCTCAATAATATCCCGCCAAATCCTCCTCGCTCCGGGTCTATAAATGATAAATGTAAAATTTAACCTGAATCGCTTCGTAAAATGTTTTGAAATGTTCATTTTTAAATTTTAATAACTAAACTGCTTTTGCCGATAAACTGTTTTTACTTGGAATTGTTGAGTAATTTCAGTTAGGGTTTAAATTAATTTGCTCTCCTTTACATTTACCTTTTTTTCTTAAATTAAACAGGGCGATTTAGGAAACTTACAGCTTCACATTGAAAAGGAAAACAGCAGTGCATGTTTTTAATACGCAATAAATTATCAAAGCAACAAAATTCATAAACATTAAACATTCAAAGCAAACTTGCCCTATATTTCACGATTTCCCATAGTAAATAAATTTTTCTGACTTCTTCAAACAAAAATTGCTTCAAATCTCATTGTGTGATACGTAATTTTACAAATATATGCTTTTGAAAATTGAAATCTTGCTTTAAGTTAATATCTTCAGTGTGCTTATCCCACTCATGGGAAACAGCCATATTTTTTAGATCAGTGAGGAGGTCCACCCATGAAGCAAAGCTGGTCACGCGCCCGCGTTCATTGATGAACCTTAGGCTGCGCTAATGCGTTCCTTTCCCCGGGTGTGAATAGCCGGGCGGAATTAGAACCTTCGCCCCGGCGTTGGCTCGGGGATTATACAATACACATCAATTATACATGCATAAATCTCGAACATGCGTGATTTTGTCGCTTTATATCAATTTTTATTTGTTGCATTATTTCTAATGTACTTGTGTAATGTACTTTTATTGAAATTATCTTAGCGTGCATAGACTTTTTATAATATATCATTTATAATTTACATGCATTCTGCCTGGCAAAACAAAACAAACTTTTTCTAATTTTTTATCCGATTTTCATCCAGATTTAAGAAAAATTTAATCAATTTGTGCCTGAAGAATGAGACGCACAAATTTTCGTTTTATTACGTTTTATAGTTTCTGAGTTGTCGTGCTCACACAAACGCGGATGTGATTTTGTGTATGTGCATGTGTCAGGTGAAGGTGTTTCAATCTATCATGCATCCACCATTGTCCATGTCTGTACTTATATATGCAAAGGCAGTAATAATTTGGAGGTGTGGTAATATACGAATACCGTATTTACTCGTTTAAGCGCCGCGGCGCTCTTTAAATTTTTAGGGCTTCAGATGCGGCGCTCATTCGGCGGCGGTCAATCGGGGGCGGCGCTCTTTAAAAAATATTTTATTTGTTAATTATGACAAGAACTTTTAACTATAAAATAGACAAGTTTTAAAAGGTTTTTGTCACCAAATATCCCAATTTTGACGCGGAAAGTTTTTACACTGTTCAGTGCGGCGCTCAATCGGGGGCGGCGCTCAATCGAGTAAATACGGTAATGTTTTATGCCCTTTATGGTAAGGCTGAATTTAATAAGTACTCGTGCTTGTGCAAAGTGCTGTGAACATACTGTATGTATGTTTCGAACAACCGTGTTGAATTCTTAACAAAAGTTATATTTTTAATCTTCATGGATAACTTCAACAAATATTTCAAATGATTTGTAACTCCAGGCATAATGTTGAGCCTGGGTTACAAATCTTCAACGATCAACAGAGATGTGCATTAGGGACCGGTCATTATTTATGGCAGGGGTGGGGGCCGAAGAGAAAGTAAAATGAAGCCGGAAAAAATCATTACCCCACCTTTTTCGAAACAAAATTTCTAGCTACCCCACCGGTGGAATGCCAGAAAATTTTTTTACCCCACCCAAACCTATTTTGTTGCAATGTCAAAGGTTCAGACATAAAATATGTAATGAAACAGTTTAGTATTTTGTAACAAAATTGCCCTTGATGAGTAAGATCATCTGCTGTTAGAGAGTAAATAATTATTATTATACGGTGCTTTGACCACAGTGGACATTATAATTAAAAGGGAATAGGATTGATTGGTAATACTTGTTTACCAATATCCCTTGCCCCTTATTTCTTGTGGAGTAATTAATGCACACAACAGTCATGCCTTTATTATGGGTTAGCCCTACAATAGCAATTAAGGTACTATATAAAGAATTATAGTTATCTGAAGGCTTAAAATTTGTCTACTTGTAAAATTTAAATATGAATGGGTTTTTATAGTTTGTATTCAACGCTATATTCCCTTTTCACGAGATAGTGCAATATGCTAGTCCCATGCATGCATAAACATATATTTATTTTTTTAACCATATGCTTCAATATTTTAGAACACTAACCGTACTTCACCATCTCTTTCCCACTTTAAAGTTTCACTGTATATAATTTGGTTTCTTTCACATTCTTGCATTTTTTTATTAATTAAAATGCAATTTTATTTTGAAACAGTTTCACAAAATATGTGCTCACCCATGATTGCAACTATCTAAATTCTAAAATTTCCTCTGAAATTCCTTTAATATTTCCTTGCTATAGACAATCACATGTATTATCACGGAATTTTAAAGGAATTCCTTAAGAATTCCCAAGGAATTCTTGAAGTTTATGAAATCAATTTAATATTTTAATTCGTAAACAATACAACGACACTAATTTGTCCCATGTGAGAATATCTGAATTTAGAAAGTTACTGTAAATTAATGAGAAAAAGTTTCTGTTATACAGTGTGAAGATAAAGATATTCATCCGAATTCCAAGTATGATTATATAAACAATTAAATTAATCTGTAAAACGGGTAAATAGACTTCTCTTATTTTATCTATGTATACATGATCTGCTAGTAAAGAAAAACAGCTAGTTGCCAAAGGCTAGAGTTGAACATATTGTGAACTAGCCATTGGAATGATTCTCCAGATTCACAAGGGGCATGGGGCATATTTCATGATTTGCCACCTGAATTGTCCACATGGTTTACAAGCACATACTGGATATAAATATTAGTTATGCAGTATCAAGTGTAGATGCCCAAAAATTAAATCCTGAAAATTTAATAGACTGCACATATACTTTATGAGATATGTAATAAGAGGATGTTTATATGGGGGTCAGGCTGGATGCCTGGGGTTAGGGGCTACAGACTTAAGGTCACTTTTCCTGAAGCAAGATCTCGGGCTAAAGGGGCGGGATCTCGCTTAGCTATAGCTGGGCCCGCTCTTTACCCATATATACACAAGGTGAACTTTAGTAAGAAATAACAACAAGGCAGGATCTTGCCAAAACTGGGCCAGCTTGAGTACCCTGGGCATGGCTTGCAGTTGCACCATATAAACAGCCCCTATATATAGGCAGTATATATTTTGTCTGGTAATTGGAGTCTTTGGAGATTTTGTGTGTAAATGAATATAAAAATGACCCTTTACGGGTGGGTTGAGGGGGGTGTTTCTGTCAACATTTTGGAAAGCAATATTTTATTAAAAAATTAGAATAATCACATATTAAATTCTGATAGTAGTATACATTGTATTGTGTGTGATTAAAGTAAGGTTATTTTTTTTTTACCCCACCTCTGCATGCAAGGATTTTTTGGCCACCCCACCTAAAGCAACTATTATTTTTCAGTTACCCCACCATTTTCTCTTCGGCCCCCACCCCTGCCATAAATAATGACCGGTCCCTTATTGAGCTCCGTATTTTTTTAGTTTATATTTTGTATAATGAATAACTTGCTGACGACAACTGCGAACAAGCTATTGTATGATGGCGGTAAATATCGATGGACTGGTTCCCTCATCGAGTTAAAGGAATTCGTTAATAAGTATCTACAAATTAAAGGGGAATGTACTTCACCTGGTGGTCATGTTAAACTATTTACCGCTGAGGCTTCTGATTTCACTATTAAATGCTATGGCCCACGTTCACAGAAGCTTACGATTGAAGTTGATAGCTGTGATCACTATCTAGAGGCGAAACTTATGAACTTGTCTGTTGGTAAGCAAGTAAGTGAAGGCGAATTGCATGCAAACAAAGATGACGCACTTAAATCATCGGGGCTAGTTCCCGCCTTGCTGTAAGGAAATATATAGAGATGGTAGACATTCCCACCTTGCTTAACACAGGCCACTCTTGTAAAGAAAGAACATCCTTATTCCAAACAATAATTAATAATGGGTTGATTCAATTATTCCACTACGTAATAAAACTGTTAGATTAAATGAACCTCCAAGGATGAACACAACTTTGAAAGGTCTTATAAGGAAACGACAAAAAGCCCTTAATTAGAAAAGAACTACAGAATTTAAAAGGCTGAGGAATCAAATCAATCGCCAAAGGAATAAATGTCGGGCAAAATATTACGAAAATAGCGTTCACCATTTAAAACAATGTAAACCATCAGCATGGTGGAAAGAGGTTAAAAAGCTTAGTGGAACGAATGTAATCGGGGGAACCTCAGATGAAATTGTGAAAGCTCTGAGACCAGGAGATACCTTTCTAGCTCTGAAAAAATAGATTTAGCCAACGAGATTAATAATGCCTTTTTGGCTCCTATGGCTAGATATGCGCCGTTATCCTCAGTACCTCGTCAACATCTCATCCAACCTGCACAAAGTGATACAGTAATTACTCTAACATGGAATGCTGTTTTCCAAAACCTTCTCAAACTTAATCCCAAAAAAGCTCCTGGTCCGGATGACATACCGTCGTGGCTCCTAAAAGAAAACGCAGATCTATTAGCTGGCCCGATAGCGGCCATCTTGAACTGTTCATATCGGGAATGTACCCTACCCCGCCAGTTTGGAAGAAGGCGGACGTAGTTCCAATACCGAAAGAAAAGCCCATCCAGGATATCAATCGTCAGTTACGCCCTATTTCACTTACACCTATTCTATCGAAAATCACAGAAGAATTTGTTGTAATGATTTATGTGAAGCCAGCAGTGATGGAATTGATCGATAGTAAACAATTTGGGACGGTGCCGGATAGCTGTACGACATATGCTCTTATAAGCATGCTACACACTTGGAATAAGGATACGGATGGTAACGGTTCAACAACTCGAGTTATGACGTTTGACTTCCGTAAAGCATTTGATTTAATAGACCACAATATTTTTTGGAGAAGTTAACAAAGTATAACATACCGAGGTCTGTCATGCTTTGGATCTTAGACTTTTTGACTGACCGAGAACAGAGGGTAAAACTCAGCCAAGATTGCCATTCCGAATGTGGCAAGGTCGCAGCCGGCGTCCCCCAAGGAACAAAGCTCGGCCCATGGTTATTTTGTATTATGATTAATGATCTAAGCGTTGAGGACGTTAATGATTTATGGAAATATGTTGACGACTCATCCTTGTCGGAATCAGTTTGTAGAGATGGCCCAAGTAACTTACAAAAGTACGTAGATGAATTTAACCAGAAATCAACAGCTGACGGTTTTCAGTGAACGAATCAAAATGCAAAGAGTTGTGTATAAGCTTTGCACCAAGCACACGTGAGTTCCAGCCAATTACTATTAATGGGAATATTGTCGAACGTGTAACATCGGTAAAATTGCTGGGTCTAACCATCTCAAATAACCTGAAGTGGAATAGTCATATTTCACACGTTTGTAAAAAGGTCGCACCTCGTCTATAATTTTTAAGACAACTAAAACGAGCGAAATTAGCAGCTAACGACCTAATCCTTTTCTACTCCACCTGTATTCGACCAGTCATCGGGTATGCGTGCCAAGCATTTCACGACTCATTACCCAAATATCTGTCTGAAGATCTTGAAAGACTTCAGAAACGAGCTTTTCGAATAATATTCTCAGATCAACACTACAAAGAAGCATTGAGAAACACGAACACCCCATCACTGTACGGTAGAAGACAGGAATTAACAACAAAACTTTTTAAGGACATAGTCAATAATCCTGAGCACAAATTAACGGATTTGTTACCGCCATTAAATAATGACAGTAGCCATTTTTTTGCGTAAAAATAGGAAATTAACGTGCCACTTCATAAAACGAACAGATTTAGGAACAGTTTTATCACTTATAACTCTAATAAGTTTTCTGAATAACTTAGAAGCTGTTTTTACCGCGAATATGCTGGTTTTTTAACCTAATCAAAATTAGCATTAGTGAGTGTTTTAGTAACAAATTATAAGTCTGCGCATACAGTATGTATATGTAAATGTGTATTTTTAAGTATTGAGTCTAATCTTATTCTTTTTCTTAAACAAATACATGTAAAATTAGTTTTAATATCCTTGTAAACCTAACATATTTCAGCAGTGGAATTAGTTATATTCTGGAGCTGTAAGTTTTAGTGTCAAATAAACTATCAAACATAAACTATCAAACATATTTGTTTCTATATTTAGTGCAGTTTCTAGTTTTACTTCGGCAATGTGGACTTCTCATCTCTTTTCGATTACAGATAAGTGTTGCCTCTCTCGTCCATTTCAAATGACTCCGCGTAATTCTAGAAAAAGAAGTAAGAATCAGTGTTAATAAAATACGATGCTATAATCACATGATAATAATAAAAATAGAATATACATTTTTCAAGTAGGCTATAACTTTTCCAACCTCGTTCCCAGGCTCTTTCCTCTTGTGGAGCAAAGACCCTGGTCGGGGCTGGTCACGTGACCCCGCAGATTCTGAGTGGTAAAATGAATTGCTCTCAGGGAGGGGTAGTAGAGGAGTCTGTTTGTTGCGTTTGGAAAATTGCAATTTTATGTGTGAAAGTTTTGGGTGATAAAATCTAATTTGCAACAAGAAATCGTGAAATAAACTGTTTTAAATTCGTATTCATCATGACACGACTTCCTGTTATACTGAAGGTCATCAATAATAAGTGTTGCGGTAAATTTCAAGCGACAGCCGACAAGCTGGATCATATTTCACTTCCAAGGGAAGGACTCCACACGCGCCAGGCTTGCGAAGTTGAGCATGCATCGCCGTAGAAACATATATTTATGTCTTCCCAATTCTACACCGACTGATCGATCAAACGATATCAAATGAACGATATGGTTGTTTATGGTTGAAGTGTATCCTGTCCGATATTCAACAAAGGATTTATTTTATAATGGGATGCTTTGATTTCCAGAACATCGCCAACTTTGTGTAAACAATAGCAAGGTGGGTTGTAGCGAAGTAGTTGTAGTTCGCTACTGTAGCGAACTACAATTTTCAAGTAGCCAGTAGTTTTTGACTACTTTTTTAAAACAGTAGTTGTAGTTATAGCGAACTACATTTTGCCTAAAAATAGCCAAGTAGTTGACTACTTTTCAAACAGCGAATCGCTATTCGCTACTTTTTAAAATTGTTAGCAACCGTTCGTAGAATATAATGATATTAAGACACGGTTTGCTTAAAAGATTATTTTATACAGTAAAGATTATTTTAGCGCATTGAAAAGTGGCACTCCTGAACACTGTATAGTGCTTACAAAAATGTTTCTTTGACCCTATTTGTTTACTGTTGCTACTCGTAAGTCTATTTGTTATAGGTTAAATTACAGCCTGAGCCCAAATACCATAACTAAAAAATATAGAGTAGCGAAATAGCGAAATAGTTCGCTACATTTTTTAAGCAGTAGCCGTAGTCAGTAGCGAACTACTTTTGTTCAAAAGTAGCAGTAGTTGTAGCTGACTACATATTTTTGAAGTAGCTGTAGTTATAGCGAACTACAAAAATTTTGTAGTCAACCCACCCTTGAACAATAGCTGCTATCTTGACTGTGAAAGCACAGGATTAAAACCCGTTATGGACTGTAAAATTCCTTTCATTTACATTGCTGAAACTCAACGATCAAGAATGATTATGTTGAAGACTCGAAGTATAGGTATCTAGTGTCATCAGACGAACGCCAAGACTCCACTGTGCGTTAATTTCCGTGCGTGCGGTACATATAACTTGAATATAGGACGATATATGCATCAGATTGCACCAGACATTGGTATTGTACTTTATAGTAAATTATATCATATTTCGTATATTACAGTAATTTACAGCAGGTGCATTATAAACCTTAATTAGCTTATGAAGACCTTTCATTGTCATTGCCATTATCCATTCAGGGCTTTATATTTGAAGAATAACCCGGCTTAAAATACAACTTCTTTCGACTTGTATAATGCCGCTGTGTCATCAATATTTAAATCAACTTTAATCTTTATCGTATACTGTAATAACATTTTAGCAGTTTCACCAAACGATACTAGAGGCAAACAACCTATCTATCAATAGACACTTTAAAAGGCTTATTAATTAAAACTTTATATTAAGTAGTTCTATCAGCTAGACTTCGTGCGCATATACAGTTTATGAATTATGTATATATATCCCTGATAAAACGTAGCGACACTTTAGACCAGATATAATAAAAAATACTGTGCTAAACCTTTTCGGCTATCATTCCTTTGCATTCAAGGGGCGAGGGCGAATGGCGATAGAATTCATATCGGAGATTCTGTGCAATAGTTTGATTTTTGGCTTGAACAATCGTGCAGAAAAGGAAATGCATGCAGTTGTGATTTGTCGTATAATTCTTTACTGTCAATCCCAAACAATTTTGTACGTTAACAATCCTTCCTACCTGGGGCCGGTTGTATAAAAACGTAATTAGCGCTAACTGTAGTTAGCGTTAATCACTGTAGTTAAATCCTTAACTGTAATTAGTTAACTACATGACTTAACTGCGTTGCACAAAACGTAGTTAGTCGGATAGTTAACTATAATCACGTAGTTAACTGTGCGTGGGGCTTGCGTGGGGCGTTTAAACACAAAATTACGTAAAGTAAGCAGCGAATAACGACCGCTGACACACATTTTCAACATATTGTGGACTCGTATTTTGCAAATAGGCGGGAATTTTTTTCAAAATACTAGAAAACAATAGCGTTTGAAGAGTTTATATTGTCAGGAAACATTCACAGGGAAGATAGCGATTGAAAATCTCAGGTAAGCGTTGCTTTTCATTGTTGTTTTAATGAAAAATGTTGTTCACTCCTATACAAACGCCATTTTTAACTACGTTTTGGACAGTTAACTATACCCTAAAGCATAGTTAACTTTAATTACTTTTTAACTGCAGTTAAGGCTAACTACACTTTTATACAACCGGCTTAACTACGTGATTAAAGTTAACCACTTTTTAACTACTTTTTAACTGCAGTTAGCGCTAACTACGTTTTTATACAACCGGCCCCTGGTGTTTAATATAAACGATGATAAACTTTTAAAAAAAGTCTGGAGCACTATGTCTATAAACCATAGATATCTTATATATATATATATATATACACTAGATAGTGCATCTAATTATTCTGCAATTCAAAAATTGAAGCCGTTATTGCAGTCTCAGGTCGTTCCCATGAAATGAGAAGATTCGTATGTTTTCTATTTCTTAAACAGGGAACTTAAACATTAAGTTAACCCTATTCTAAATACGTTTTTAAACTATTCAAATGATGAAAGTTATTCTTGTTTTTAAGCGTTTATTAGCAAGTGGGAACGACCAACATGGCCGCCATCTATTCAAATGGGGATAACCGCTGGAATATTCTTGGCTTCAATTTTACTAAAAGAGATGCGCTATCTAGTGTATATAAGATATCTATGCTATAAACCGTTTTAAAATCAATAGAATGGACATTCAATGTCTATTTAGCTATTGTCCAAATGTGTAACGTTTGCTGTAAGACCAGCAAGGCGCTGCGTCTACGACCTACACAGTCGCTTTTGAGATCTCTATTTAACAAAATTTATACCGTTCCATATGACAAAAATTCAATGGCATATTATAAGAATATTATAAATATCTGAACCAGATAAAGAAACGTACGCGTGAAATCGGAAACTGCGCCCGAACCCCGAGACAATAAAAGGGCAAATATTTCCAAGCATGCACAAGGTTTCCCGTTGTAAATGTAATGGCACTAGTTTTTCAAATTTTTTTCAAGAAGTTTTTCAAATTTTTTAAAAAAATAGTTTTTAAAAAAGTTTTAAAAAGTTTTAAAAGAGTTTCGAAAAGCAAGAAAAGTTTAAAAAGTTAGATTTTTAAAAAATTTTAAAAAATTTAAAATGTTAAAAAAATTAGGGGTTAGTGGTTAGTGGTTAGGGGTTAGGGGTTAGGGGTTAGGGGTTAGTGGTTAGGGTAGGGGTTGGGGTTAGGGTTAGTGTTAAGTGCCGCGAATTTATTATTATGATAAATTCAAAATTTGCCGCGAATTTATCATAATGATGAATTCGGACGTGTTTAAGAATTTACTCATATAGTAAATTCAAAGGTGGAGCTCATGCTGTGTTTGTGAGGTTAGAGGCTGAATCGGAAACTAGAATAGTTTTGCAAACTGCCCTTGCTTGCACGTTTCCCTCTGTATATAGAGTTATATAGACAAGTGTCGAACAGAAACTGCAATTACTGTACAAATATTGAACTGCAGAATATGCAGTAAAACAAAAAACATAAAACATAAAACTAATGTTATTTTGAGTATGCATTTTAAAAAAGTATCCATTTTAAAAAGGTGCGTGTGTTGTTAAAATACATACTTTTTTGGAATAAGATTAGTTTTATATTTGCATGCTGAAACTATCAGCAGGTATAAAATGATTCTTGCAGTAAAACCACTGGGAATAAATGTGAAATCCAAACTATGAAATTTGCAATTATAGTATATCCATACTATTTCAATACTATATAGTATATCCATACTATTATAGTATATCCATATATAGTATATCCATACTATTATAGTATATCCATATATAGTATATCCATACTATTATAGTATATCCATATATAGTATATCCATACTATTATAGTATATCCATATATAGTATATCCATACTATTATAGTATATCCATATATAGTATATCCATACTATTATAGTATATCCATATATAGTATATCCATACTATTATAGTATATCCATATATATAATACAAAACATAATCCGAAGATAAGCATCTTGAAACCCAAAATATGAGTCAAACAAGAAAGTGAGTGAGTAATATTTCGATTTTATTACAAAATCAATCATCATCATATTTCGATTTTATTACATCATCATTATCAGTTAGTCTGATGATGATTTTGTAATAAAATCGAAATATTACTCACTCACTTTCTTGTTTGACTCATATTTTGGGTTTCAAGATGCTTATCTTCGGATTATGTTTTGTATTATATTTTTTGAAATTGTCGGCTGGTATTGGTTTTTATATCCATATATAGTATATCCATACTATTTCAATACTATATCCATAGTATGGAAATAATAATTATACATGCAATTATTATGGATAAAAAAATCCATTCTATTTCCATGAAGGTCCATATATAATTTCCATTCTATGACCTTCTATGGATTTTCAATTTTTTTCCCAGTGAACCCTTGTATATTTACTAAATTGCATGAAATCAAATCAACATTATAGGCTACACTAAATACTTCGACAGTCAGACTTTGTTTTCCAACATACAGCGATTGAGGCAAGTTGTAAAAGAGGTACTTTATTGATTTATTCTAAGATTTTGGCATTTTCAGAGGCCGCAGAAGCATTTCGAAAGTGGAGGGGCATTGGCCAAAAGGGGCACTTTTGTATGTGACCAAAATCAAACGATTTTATGTCGTTATATGGTCGGAAATGGCTTTTCCAGCAAAAAAGGGCGTTCATTCAAGAAATAGTTTTTTCGTTCTTTAAATGAGGCACTTTAGTCCAGAAAAAGGGCACTTTTTTCACTTTTAAAAAAAGTGGTGGGGGCACAGTACATGCCCCCATTGCGCCCCGGTTCGGCGGCCCCTGGGCATTTTGCAACGTCGTGTTATTTATAATTCTGTAAATTCAATGTTCACTGTTGAAGCCATATTTCAAAGTAATATGCAAATTATTAAGGAAGTTTTAATCACAGCCGTGGCCATAAATTTCAATGCATTTTTCACGGCATCTGCATGATTCAACATTACCTTTGTATGAATAATATTTATATATATATATATATATATATATATATATATATATATATATATATATATATATATATATATATATATATATATATATAATTAATAAATTTAATGTTATTTACTGCAGGCAAACATTTTAATATTTTGTATAAGACTAGTTTGTATTGATTGTACAAGCATTAATGTTTTTAGTTAGGTAATTGGTGTGATATATGTAAAAAACGGCCCCTTCAGAAATAGGTAGGCCTACCTTTGAGCCCCGAAGGGTTATCGTTTTCAAATATTTTTCAAATATTTTAAAATTAAAATAAGACATATAATTCTTACCGGAATGCCATCAGATTTATCAACATTAATGGAATAGAGATCATAATCCAAGTCAAAGCTATTTCTACGATTTTCAAAATTATACCATGCCTGCTTTCCTTTGCGTCCATTAACAATAACCTGTAATAAAAAATAATTTTTTCGTAGAAGTCCTTTCACAATTAATAACGACAATATTAAATATATGTTGCGTGAAATACATGAAAGCGTGTCGTTCTCTAGTGAAAGATTCAGAGAACGATTCAGTAACGTTAGGATGTAGATATAAACATTTCATCATCATTTTTGCACGCGCTAATTTGTAATTTACAAAACAAAGGAGAGGATGGATTGCAATAAGCGAGAAAAATACAATACCATGAACAAATTTGTTTATTTTATAGATACTGAGTTTTTTCTTTCATTTAAGTCAAAAATGTTATTATAGTACAGGCTGTTTAACTAACCATATGTTTGATATATGTTCGTCATTGTTTGAGAAATACCTTATAAATACTTGTATTGAATCATATAAATTCATAGTTTTAAAAAACAATAAATGTTGACATACGTATACAAAGCATGCAATTCATTCCAACAAGAATTAAAAAGCAAGAAAATAATTATAGAGTCTATGTTCAGGTGTGGGCAAAACAAAGTCAAACTAAAAGCGAGAATACTCTTGCCGTGAGAATAAATTTATTCATACGTCATCGTTGTATCATTTGATTGGACTTTTCTTACGTGTGAGAAAATTGTGATCCAAAACAATCATGTACTGTAATTGGTTTGCACAAAGGAACTGTGTTTGTTCCTCCTTCCATACAAAATTTATCCTTTAGTTGTATTGTTCTTTTTGTTTTGATACTGTTGACATAGCCTACTGCTTGTATATAGGCTGATGGCGACACGATCAAAAAGGTACAGTATCAACCAATCTTATAAGCAGCTCATTTTATTACTGTCTGAATTTAACATTTCCAAGGTAAAACTTATACTCACCACAGCTGAAATAAAAATAAGAAGAAGAAGTAAGGAGGCAAGAGAAACAATGACACCAATCTTCCAAGTTTCGAACCCATCTTGTGACCCGCTCATTTTCGTGACTTGTAAACTTTCAATAGTGAATGGCGCCGATCCATTATCTCTTGCTTCAGCGATTGGAGATCGAACTTCGTCAACAGTCGGAATTGGTTCGGTGGAATTATATAATATGTCAATATCTGCAACAACACTTCCCGAGGAAAATGAATTGAAGATAATGCCAATAAAACCACGTCTATTGCGGTATATTGGAATCAAGAATACAAGGAATCTATTTCTCAAATTTCTGAAATCCTGACTTTGCTTGTTCTGTAGTTCGGGCACAAATGTTTCATCAATTACTATAACAACTGCAAACTGGACAGTTTCTGCAATTGCAATTGTCGCCTGATTTCCCGATCGGTCAAACACTGTTACCTCTGTGTCAGAATCTGTTGGCATTTCTGTTGAATAGAAAAAATTTGCAAAGTTGTATTATTGCTAATTGAGACGGCCATTATAATTTTATCCAAAAACAATTATCAAACATGTCAAAGAGGTATATTTGCTAAGTATAAGCCTATACCTCTGGTCAAAATATTAAAGTGGCACTATCATTACAATTTTTTTTCATAATCCAGAAATATAAAGTATGCTTGATATTCTTACCAATTTTCAAGGCAAAATTCGTTCATCTTCCTGACATTCTTACGATTCTTATCTGCCAATTTTACGGCCGCCATTAAACGCGCCCAATTAAGCTTAATGTGGCTCCCTAGGTTTTTTTAATTTATACACTATAGTATTCAGGAGACTCCTGTTTCTTTACTTTACATGACATGAAAACGAAATTTATTGGACACATTGACAATGTTCTCCTGAACATTGCAAATTGCTACTTTTGTGTTAAAAATATGTTGTCTTGGCAACAGCATGCTTAGAATAAAGCTCAAAATTTGTCTTTTTCAGGTCATTTTAAAAATTCCCTTCGATGAAATTTTTTAAAACTTTGCATAAAAGATAATACTTATATAATGATTTTTTCCTCTCAATTCAAAAAAATTAAATCGATACGTTTCTTAGAAAATTTAAAAAACGTCAAAAATCAATATTAAAAATTTTCCCTTCGATTTAATTTTAAGAAAAAAGGATATTGTACTTGCAGTGCCGATATTAAAAAATGTGCAAAGTTTTAAAAAATTTTACCGAAGGAAAACAGAGAAATTTGGGTTTAATTTTGGCAATTTTTACGGATTTTTACGCGAACAATTTAATACCCCAACTGACGTGTACATGCATTCTGCATAAAACAACAAGGCATGACTTTTTTGAAATCACAAAATATAAATTATGTTTGATATACTGTTTATAACTGTGTCGGTTAATGGTCAACTAAGCGTGGATTATACATGTAAAATTGGCAAAGAAATTTAGGTAATTACTGGTTATGCCTTCTTGGTATTCATTTGAAAAATGTTTGTCAAAATTCGTCCCGTGCGAGCTAGTACTATCGTCGGATGTTTTCGCAAAATGCCCGTTCAATTTTCAGTTTTTATAGTGGTATGTTTGGAGTTTTGGCCCTGCTCATTTCACCCGTAGAGGGCTCATTATTTAAGTCATCTTTATTGTCATAAGTGCTGCTAAATTGTGGAGAAAACATTGCAAATTCTTGAGGAAACTTTATATCATACTCCAATGTTCGCGATAGAACCTCGCGTACGGCGGTTCAAAAAACGTCCAGAATACCGCTTAAAAAAAAAAGTTTACATTATCTTCTTTTGAAACATCACATCCGAGTATCGTTTTGACTTTTAGAACTCTTTTTATGCTTTTAACTAAAGCAAAGTTCACACTTTTGTTTCAAAAAAGAGTTCCATATAAAACACAACGTTCGTTCGTATTTTGAAGTCACACGAGTTTTAGTTTACAGTATACGAAGAACGTAACCCCCGGAAATAAAACCCTAGGGAGCCACCTTAAGCGAGAGGGCTTTTTGAAGGGGATGTGACGTCATTCATTCAGCACACCGAATGTTTTTATTGTATTTCACTACTATTTCAACAATGTTTTCGTACAAATTCATATAAAGGAGAGTCAGAAACTTCAGGAAGTGAACATTCGCACGGGAGCAAAGCGAGCTGTGATGAAAAAACGTACGGTGACTCACATTCAAGTGAATATATAGTGATGAAAAGAAAACATCAAACATAGAATTGTTGATATTTGTTAACAAATGTAAGTTATAGCTAAAAACACATTATTTCAATGCATGTGTGTCTATTGGTCTATTTCTGTATTTTTAACGACTGTAAATTAAACTGACACTCAGGGAATTTAGTGCACTTGGAAATTAGTACAAGTATAAATATCCTATGACTCTACGCTGCGTTTTCGCTTTCCCTGGGACACATATAAACGCGGTGTATATATATATCCATAGGCGTACGGGAAGGGGGGGCGGGGAGGGCGGCAGCCCCCCCAAAGTTTGGGAAAGGTCAATTTTTTGGGCACGCAAGGAAAATTTGGGCAAGCGTTTGTGGCTTGACTTATTTTTGTTATTGTATAAAATTTATTAATCGACGATACCTTACGTTCTCCTATCTTTGGTTTATTGCACAATCGATCAGTCGATCTAGTCGATCACTGGTTACTGAATCAAAACCATTGTCAGAAAACTTCGCTCACTGTCATCGGCCACTCATGGCGGCCATATTGAAAATTCGGAAGTACAAACATTGTCAAAAATATCGAGATAAAATGAGATCGTGCTTTTTGTGCCTATTTTAGCGGCAATCAAAAATAAACACGTCGCTGTCATTGAGCCAGCGGTCGCTGTATGTAGCTTGTGGCGTTTTTGGTAGCAAGTTTACTCCATTTTTTTGCAAATTTAAATTTGGGATGCAAGAGACTTAAAATGGTTACTTAATGGGTGTAATAAAATTTAACGGCTTCGATTGATAACAACAAACTGAACTTGATCATGATAATGTGACAAATGTCCAAACAGAAACCCGTTAAGCGAAAACGTGCCTATCGTTATCGTGTGGTCTGCTCAGTTTGCCAAAAAGAAATTGTGGCCGAATATCAGGATGTCCACGCCAAAACTAAACACAAAGGAAAGAAGGTAAAATTCACCGTTGCAGTTGATGCTAAGCAAGCTAAACTTTGTTTTGCTACCGCTGGCGAGACAGTGGCCATTACGCCCAAAAGAAAGAAAAGCGATGGCGATACAGATAGAGTGGATAATGAGGCCGAGGGAAGTGAAAATGATTGTCAAACTACTTTAAAATGTGTCAATGAAACCGTTTCAAGCGCAGAAAATATTGAGGGAAGAGATGCTGAACTTACCGAGTCCTCCGTCTCCAGTATAACCGTTGCAGTCTCAGTACATAACAATGACGTCGTGCCAGTTCGAGAATTATCGCAAAATGATCCGACCTATTCTTTTCCAAGTACAGGAGCTAGTCACGGTAAGGTACTATCATTATCAAAATATGCGTGTCTGAATACCAGAGTGAATTTTACGTTTAAGTCTGAGAACTGTTTGTCTGTTTGTTACTCTTTCAGTCTTTGTGCTCTGCCTCTGGTAAACAGTTTTAAGTTTTTTCACGTAGTCGTGTATCATGATGTATTAGTAAGAGTGCTCAATACTCTATAGTGCTTCCATGTATTGGCAGCGTTGCAATTTTTAGTTCATTGTATACGGTTTCTTTTTCGTTTAAACATTGAAAAATAGATGTGTAAGCTACAAAGCAGGTACAGACGTGCAGTGATGGAAAGAAAACCATTAACTTTCTTTAAAGTCCTTAAAACCCCTTATTGTCGTTGATTCTCGTTGCTACGAGAAAATCCGAAATGATTATTACTTTTACATTCATTATTTCTTACTTTAGATGATTCCCAAAGCTTTGACGACAATTTCGACACTATACGCGTGCATGCACCAGACCTAAAAGACTGTAATTCGGAGAAATCGTGCCTGCAGATGAAAGGACCACAGTAGCCGCTACTGAAGAGTTACGACCCCAAGAAAATGGGAAACGAATCGTTTACTAGAGATTTCAATCCTGAATGGTATAAGCGACATCCCTGGCTCTCATACGACGTCAGTAGTAAGAAAGCGAACTGCTTTCCTTGCCAGATGTACTTGAAGGGAAAAGATTCCTTTTCATTTGACAACTGGAAAAAGCCGGAACGGTTAGCAAAACATCATAAGAGCGAGAAGCATCAAACGGCCATGGAAATGTGGATGTCCAGTAGAGCAAACAAGAAGCATAATTCCTCAGTACTAAGCCAACTACACGAAGATCATAAGAAGTCCGTGAAAGAAAATAGGGCCTACCTTAGAGTACTCATTGAGAGTCTTATGTACACAGCGCAACAAAACGTTGCACAACGTGGACACGAAGAAGAGCGAGTTAACCTAGATAAAAGCAGCGATGTTAACCGTGGAAACTTTTTAGAACATATTAGTTTGAGGTGTAGGGACATACCTTGGCTTGGTTCTAAACTAGATCAACAGCTTAAAAAACATGCGCAGTGGACATCGCCCGCCATACAAAATGAATTACTCGAAATTACTGCTGATCTTGTGAAAGAGCGCATTGTCAACGACGTTAAATCTAGTGGATGGTATAGTATCATTATAGATGAAACGTCGGACATCAGCAAAATTGAGCAAGTTTCACTCTGTCTGAGTTATTGCATAAATGGAATAAAGAAGGAGCATTCATGGGATTCTATGCGACCAAGTCAACTGAAGGCGAGGTTTTATATGAACTTGTGAAAGACACTATTACCAAACTTAACTTAGATTTGAAGAATATAGTTGGTAAAGCATTTGACGGTGCTGCAAATATGAATGGTATTCATAAAGGACTCTCGACTAGAATGAAAGAATGCTCCCCTCAGAGCATATACGTCGATTGTTACGGACATCTTCTCAACCTAGCCCTTCAGGATACCATGACAGAAGTGGAGCCATTGCGTAATGCCTTGGGCAACATCCAGGCCATCCACAATTTCATTGAAGGAAGCCCTAAGCGTCACGCGTTATTTAGTGACATTGAAGTTGAGGATGAAAAGTACAAACAAACACTAAAATCATTAAGTGTTACGCGATGGTCCTGTCACTGGGAAGCGGTAAAAGCTGTCTATAACCAAATGGAGAGAATTGTTAAAACGCTTCTCAAATTGTCTTCAGATAAAGATCCTAAGACTTACAGGGACAGCAGATCATTATTAACATCTTTGTGCGACATGGATTTCATATTTGGTTTATGTGTGCTCAGAATAATTCTAAGAAATACAAATAGTTTGAGTCAGTATCTTCAAGGAAAAGAAGTTGATGTTCTGTCAGCGCGAAGAATATCCAGCACGACCATAGAGACACTACGTCGTTGCAGAAGTGAGCAAAATTTTGACCTTGTTTTGCAAATGGCATCATTAATGGGTGTAAAGATGAAGTCTTGGTTGGGAAATTCGTTATTTAAGGTACGAGAGGCAACAGTACCACGCCATAAGACATCGCGACGCCTACAGGCCCTTGTGGGTGAATCACCCGGAGATCGCATTCAGGTGACACCAGAATCTCATCACAGAATCAACACATATTACCTGTCTATCGACAAAATACTTTCCGAGCTTGAAGTGCGCGATTCAGCGGAAATGATCAGCAAATACTTTACGCCCTTGGTGATGTCTGCCAAAGTGAAACCCCCAAAGTGGAGAGCTTCACCACAGTTGCTGAATTTTATGGTATGGATGAAGAGATTCTACAGGTAGAACAGAAAATGTTCACCACGTTTTGTCTTAAGCGTGGATTACCCGAAGGAAAGAAACTTTCAAAAGTTCTTGGATTCATGCAAGAGAACCACTTATTTGAAATGCTTCCACAGTTTACTCAAGTAATGATAATACTTTCAGTCATACCAGCCACATCATGTTCCGCAGAACGTTCATTCAGTGCCCTTCGCCGATTGAAAACATACCTCCGCAATACGATGAGTCAAACGCGGGTGAACAGCATCGCACTGATTAACATAGAGAGGGCCTATGCAAACGCTGTGATGAATAATGAGATTGACCGCATTATTGACATATTTGGCAGCAGAAAGGGAAGAAACAGCTACTTTTTTTGAAGTATTCATCGTTCGCGACATTCGTTGATCGTGAGCGAGCGCAATATATATTTTAGAACAGTAGAATTGTCTATTTAATTAGTTGTATAAATATATTGACATTTTTTGGGCAATGTGGAATTTTTGGGCAAAAAAGCTACCGCCCCCCCAAAATTTAGCGGCCCCGTACGCCTATGTATATATCGAGGTACTAATATTATACGAAAGATTATTGTAGCCTATATAACAATTAATAAATCGTATTGAATCGTATAATATGTATAAATAGAACAAATTGAATAATGTCTCGGGACCGAATCACAGAATTGATACTATGCTAAATTAATGCTTCAAATCAGCCGGTTCAATATTTGTTTTCCATATTTTTATAGACCTTTAATATACTGAATGCCAATGGCAATGAGCGCAATTTAGTTGAAAATTACACATTTACTTTTCAAATGCGAGTTGTAAAATCAACTATTATATTTATCCCCCTCGCGTGTGACCTTTTTATACTGTTTTCTGTATATAGTTTGCTATACAATACTAGCCGGCCTACAATGAGTCACTGAATCTTACGGCAAGCAAAAACGCGCATAGAGTCGTAGGATATTTACTTGCACTATAAAATTCCCTGAGTGCATATCAGTTCAATTTACAGTCGTTAAACAAACAGAAATAGACCGATAGACAGTTATTAGACACACATGCATTGAAACATTATTTATAGCTATAAATTACAAGGCATTTGTTTGTATTTTTCTTCGTATTTTGATTGGTAAGCTGTACGCTATTAAAGGTTTTCCTTCCATCGCTGCTTGTGTTTTGTGTGCGTGAAAAACTATCAAGTTGCTGTGCCTGTGATGTATATTAAAGAAGTATAAAGTGATGCTAAAGTACTAACTAATACTTTGAACGAGTGATGAAAATTATCCTTTTCAACTTCAAAAGTAAATTTGTAAAAACAAGGTCAAGGATTATTTTTGACCCAAAGTCTGCCAAAGGTCATGTTTTCAATAACAAACAAGTAGCCATTTATTGCCAACAAATATTAACAATTCTAGGTTTGATTTCTTCTTTTCATCACTATTTTCACTTGAATGTGGTGAGTCATCGTACGTTTCTTCATCACAGCTCGCTTTGCTCCCATGCAAATGTTCACCTTCTGAAGTTTCTGACCAGTGGCGTAAATCTTCAGTTATGGGCCCCCTGTTGAAATAGTTTGAAGGGCCCCTTGAATATACATCTTTCCCAAAAACTTTTACAATGCTAACCCTACGAATTGAATTTTGGACGAATTTCAATTTCGATATTTTGGATGAGTAAGAGTATATTACGAACGAATGAACGAATTTTGCCTTGAAATTTGGTAAGAATATCAAGCATACAGTACGTTATATTTCTGGCTTATGAAAAAAATTTTAATGATAGTGCCTCTTTAAATGCATTTTTCTAACAATGTAATCAAGTGATGTCACATGCATGTTTTTACTCATCACTTAGCAACAAGCTTGAACATTCAGGCGGACGATGGAAAAATTCGAATAAATTATGGAAATTAATCTTAATAAACTGGGTGAGAAATGTTCGAAAATGACAAAAATAACCCACCATGCTAAAAAGACAAATCTGCTGTTATTTTGCTGCATTTTCCAAGCCGGATTTTGGCACGAAAGCAGTGAAGCCCAATTTTTTCGTTCATTTTTTTTGTTTTTGTTTGCTGAAATTATCATTATATTTTTCGTGTTTCGCTGAAGACATTGCTTTCTGCTTTTGTAGCTTTTTCTTATTTTTTATCCCTGAAGTTATTCTCGGCTTGTTCAATTCAGACTCAAAAACAGCCGTGAAAATTCCTTTGCCTTTCTTGTCCCGCTATATCTTGTTGGCTGCTTTTGCACTTCATTTTCGGTCCCTCACTTTCTAATAAAATTTAGATCTATAATGTACGGCACTCAATTCTGTTCACTTTGGTTTTCCCAAGAAACCAGAGTCAAAGCGGGGAAAACTGAAAAACCAATACAGTACATTATGGTTTTATAATGCACGCGCATTAGCCAATTACGTGTCATATCACACTCATATTATAAAGGTATCATAACAACCCTGAAAGCATTATTTTATTCCATCTTAAGCCTTGCCACATTGAAACCTATAATTGTAACTTTAGATGATCTTTTATAGTTTCAATCATTTTTAATACCCCACCAATATTGACCATCTATTACGTGCTTGTACTTTCAACCCTATAGGATTAGGTACAGCCAGAGATGACAGAAAATATATACATTATAACTTTTATACAGTGAAATGCTATCAACGGATGTTGGTTAATTTCAGTGCAATTATTAACCCCAGATAGCAGTGAAAGAATCTCTAACAATCTGATCTGACTGGTGGAAAGACAATTAATGGGATCTAAAGCCCACCAATCAGCTTAAAGCAGTTAAGTGTCTGACAGCCACAAAACAAAACAAACACGTTTAAAAGGATCTCTATCTTCTTTTAGAAAGTATGCGAGAAATCAATCATCCATAAATTTAATCATGGATAAGGTTGACTTAATAGACGCTAAATTGTCTGACACTTCGTTAGATCATAAAACACTTTTCCAACTTGCCCGTGTCGATTCAAATTCCGCTTAAAAACTCACATTTTTGGTTGCAAGCCACTTTTAAGGTGTTTTTTAAACTGCGAATCACAGCCAAACTACATGAAAATGCTGCAGTCTTTTAGCTTATTGTAGTATGGTGTGAACAACGAAAACTAAAACCCAGAATAAAAATGCAAAAGAGAAAAACACACATCTAGTATATGTTTTTGAAATGACATATTTACCATCAATTTGGCAGCGGTCACCGGTATATCGATCCGGGCATGAACAAGAGAATGATATTCCACTATCCGAACAATTTCCACCATTCATGCATGGATCAGGGGAACATAGAGGAACTATAAATTAGATTAAAATTAAAAATGCAAAAATTCATGTAAACTAGAAGGGGACTCAGAAATCTCAATTCGAAGAGATTTCGATTCATAGTTTCCGCCAGCAAATTACGTTATATATCACGCATAAATAATACAATGGGATAATTACGGAAACCGTTTACTCTGCCCAGGAAAGTAGGCCAAAGTTAGCTTTAATATCTCTGCAATGTTCATCCAAACTTATCCCGCAGTTAATCAATCTGTACAATGGGCAATATGCTGTAGTGTCTTAAATTTTGGTATTAATTCATTGGATAATTTTCAAGATACCTAGGAGGCAGACAAACAAACACACACACCAATAGAAATTTCACTCTCAAATGCATTACGTCATAGTCATATCAATCCCGAACATATTTATGAGAATTTCTCAGTTTAAGTAACTGTGCGTGTAAGTACGTGATAGCTGGACAACACATGACCTAAAACTAATACATCTAAAACTAATATGAAAATTTAATTTTGATTACGTCAAATTGTCTGAAACTTTGTTACATGGTAAAACGTTTGCCAAGCATGCATTCGCCGAATTCAAATTGTGTTTAAAATTTTCAGTTTTCCGTGTCAGCCCCTTTTAATGTGGTGTAAAACGTAATATCAACGCAATCTAACATATCAATATTCCCATCAATTTTTCAGAAATTTTGTGGCGATTTCAGTCCAGTGAAAATTACAATTATGCATTTTTTCTAGTACACCTGTACTGTAAAAATTTATCGGGTTATATTTACAATATTTCCAATTTGAGGAACCGCTGTTTTCTGCAAGCATAACTCAGCTAATTCAAATAAAACTTTTTTTGTGTTTCCAAAATTTGTTTTTCTGGTTTTGCAAATCAAAATGCAAAGACGATTTGAAACGCGTGAAAGGTTACAGATAAAAAAATAAATACCAAAAGAACATTTACCTGGTGTGGACGGTGTTGTTTCAACTGTAGTGCTAATATCTGTTGTAGACGGTGCTGTGCTACCTGTGGTAGGAATCACTGTTGTGGTCGGTGTTATACTATCTGTGGCAGGAATCACTGTCGTGGTTGTTATTCCACTTGTGGTAGGAATCACTGTTGTGGTCGATGTTGTACTACTTGTGGTAGGAATTATTGTTGTGGTCGATGTTGTAGTACTTGTTGTAAGAATCACTGTTGTGGTCGGTGTTATACTATCTGTGGTAGGAATCACTGTTGTGGTTGATGTTGTACTACTTGTGGTAGGAATCACTGTTGTGGTTGGTGTTATACTACTTGTGGTAGGAATTACTGTTGCGGTCGATGTTGTACTACTTGTGGTAGGAATTACTGTTGTGGTCGATGTTATAATACTTGTGGTAAGAATCACTGTTGTGGTCGATGTTATACTACTTGTGGTGGGAATTTCTGTTGTGGTTGATGTTGAACTACTTGTGGTGGGAATTTCTGTTGTGGTCGATGTTATACTACTTGTGGTGGGAATTTCTGTTGTGGTCGATGTTGTACTACTTGTGGTAGGAATCACTGTTGTGGTCGATGTTGTACTACTTGTGGCAGGAATCACTGTTGTGGTCGATGTTGTACTACTTGTGGTAAGAACCAATGTTGTGGTCGATGTTATACTACTTGTGGCAGGAATCATCTGTTGTGGTCGATGTTATACCACTTGTGGTGGGAATTTCTGTTGTGGTTGATGTTGAACTACTTGTGGTGGGAATTTCTGTTGTGGTCGATGTTATACTACTTGTGGGGAATTTCTGTTGTGGTTGATGTTGAACTACTTGCGGTGGGAATTTCTGTTGTGGTCGATGTTATACTACTTGTGGTGGGAATTTCTGTTGTGGTTGATGTTGAACTACTTGCGGTGGGAATTTCTGTTGTGGTCGATGTTATACTACTTGTGGTAGGAATTACTGTTGTGGTCGATGTTGTACTACTTGTGGTAGGAATTACTGTTGTGGTCGATGTTGTACTACTTGTGGCAGGAATCCCTGTTGTGGTCGATGTTATACTACTTGTGGTGGGAATTTCTGTTGTGGTTGATGTTGAACTACTTGTGGTGGGAATTTCTGTTGTGGTCGATGTTATACTACTTGTGGTGGGAATTTCTGTTGTGGTTGATGTTGAACTACTTGCGGTGGGAATTTCTGTTGTGGTCGATGTTATACTACTTGTGGTAGGAATTACTGTTGTGGTCGATGTTATACTACTTGTGGTGGGAATCACTGTTGTGGTCGACGTTATACTACTTGTATAGGAATCACTATTGTGGTCGATGTTGTACTACTTGTGGTGGGAATTCTGTTGTGGTTGATGTTGAACTACTTGTGGTAGGAATCACTGTTGTGGTCGGTGTTATACTGCTTGTAGTAGGAATCACTGTTGTGCCTATATGTTTGTTTGAAGGATAATGATATGTGTCAGGTTTACTAAACATCTCGGCCTGATGATTTCGTCAAATCTGACGTGGGACCAACATGTCAATTACGTTTGAAAGAGTGTACGCTATCAGAATAATAAATCGGTCAGGCGTCTCAAACACTAATGTAACACGTATATTTAGTGTTCACTCGTCCGCTCCATTCTAGAATATGCATGTGAGGTTTGGCACTTCTCTCTAACCGCAAAATTGTCTTATCAGATTGAACAAATACAAAAAATAGCTGTCAAAATATTCGTACCTCTGCAGACATGGTATGAAACAAGCCTGGAAAGTTAAACCTAATAACTTGTCTGCAGAACGCAGACAAGAACTCTTTTATAAATTATATCAATCAATTGGCCAGGACGAAAATAATAAACTAAACGAACTGTTGCCAGAACCCAAAGAACACTCCTACCCATTGAGATAGGCACGATATTTCCCAATGATTACAATAAAAACGAACAGATATAGCACAATTGTTCATATGTGAAGCCATTACATTATTTGACAATTGTCGTTGGTAGCAATAAACAATTTTGTCTAAACTTCCAGTTTTTATATTTTAACCTATATCTAAACAAATCTTAAATTGCTGAATATATCAATTAATCATTTAAATTTTGTAAATACAATCTCGCAAATATAATGTTTTATGCAGCATACACCCAGTATATATTGAACTTTACCAATCCTTGTAAAATCCTTGTTATTACCTTGTAAACAACATACAAGTTAATATTGAGTAAACAATTAACCCTTAGAATTTACTAACTTAGACGAAAACAAATATAACCAGAGATATGTGCCAAGTCACCTGATGTTCGCCTCCATGCAATTAATTTAGTTTGTTTCAAAAAGAATACTTATTGCATTTGAAGCGCTTCAGATAAGACAAGGATGATGAAAGATGAAATAGTTGAAAGTTGACGTATTTCAGCAAATTTTTTGTGTTTTTGGCATAGTATTTGAAATTTAACTTAGCTAGTGAATGTATCAAGAAACCACAATTATTGCGGTTAAGTTTTTTTATGATTTGGTCAATTGTGCACAAAGTGTATGCCAGGTTGAATGCTGCATGGGCGTGACTCTGGAAAAACAGAATATCCAATTTTGGATATCCAGTTATAGTTGCGTGCATACAGGGCTCAGACCACAACATTGAATTCGCGCGAGCGTCATTTATCGCAATTATTGCTGCCGCAGCGAGCGAGCATTAAGCGAGCGAGCAAGGCAGCAGACTAAAATCGTACAGCTACTCAAAATCTCAATCTTTCTAAAGCCGCAAAGCATGTTGGTTGAAAGTCATTTTACCAACATGCTACGCGCGGCTATCAGGGCGGCTATTTGAATTACAGTGCTATTAAATATTTACAATTCTTCACTTTCACGCTGTTTTTAAAAGCAATATTGCACAGGTATAAATCTACAATAGAATTATAAATGCAGTTAATTAATTTGTGAGCGAGTGGTAGTTCAATACAGAAAGTTTCAGACCCATTTTGCATGACATAACTCATATTAAAATCACTAACGTCACTAACAGGTGACGAACAGTCGGGGAATTTTTTTCTACAGCCAATCACTTGTCAGAAAACAGCCGTAAACAACCTAATTAGAACAAAATCTTTGTATTGCTTGTAAACTTGAGTGACGTATTGAAAATTTAAGTCAGTTTACAAGCCAGTAAAATGAAAAATCCCTGCAAATTGCAGTATTGTCGCACCAAAGTTGCAGTCAAAATCGCAGGGTGTGTATATACATTGGAGATTTCAAAAATCGTTGTAGAAATCGCAGTGAAAATTGCAAGTGTATTAAACAGGCCTTTGTGTTTATGGAAGTAATATTCACTAAAGCATAAGCAAGAATATATCAAGTGGAATCTGTTGAATTAATCGCTGTTTTTATAGTGCGCGTACAAATACAAACGACAAATACTATCGGATTTCATATTAAGTCTAATCTGCTATATTTCGCTATATTTTAGATAGTATTTTAATACGTTTCGCAGTTTTATAGGCTACGCTTCAAATTTTGTATATGTATATTTCGTATATGCGATAACACATCTTTGATTTGCAATCACTACAAACAGTATTTTAAAACGTTCATGGCGTATGCTTCTTAAAGGCAGCATTTACTACATTTTAGGTAACCTAGTAATATAAACTTGAAATAAATGCATGCAACAAGCTCTCGTCCACATTTTCCAAAAATTGTTTCAACATGAAGTATCTGAACTACTCCGACACGGAACGCAGGCTTGCGTTCCGTGAGCCATGGCAACACGATAATTGTTTTCTTTTTTTTTTGTACAAAACGGGAAAAATAAATTAGTGTTTTACACTTTTAACCGTAGAACGATCGATTTCTAAAATACATAAAGTAGGTACGTTATTTTGCTTTCTATTGCCTTTATTATAATGATATGTAAAAGTCAACACGAAACGCTTCGTAAAACGTTTTCATAGAAATTAACTGCCATTTGTCGATAAAGTCTTAACTTATTACTTATACTTTGAAATGAAATAAATTTAAATCATACATGTCGCTCTTGAAAGTGATTTGTGTTTTTATAAAAAATAGAAACAAGTTAATTTAATTCAAAGAAACTTTCACCTAGACTGAAAGGGAAAGCTGTACATGTTCACGGCCCTCAGGCGAAAACTGGACAGCAAAGTCATACATAAACAGCAAAAACAAACTTACCCTGTACTTCAGGATTTCTCATACTTTCTTTAAAATTTGAAAAAGGTGATTTACAACTGGGAGTACCCCAGGGGTCTAACCTGGGTCCTCTGCTATTCCTTCTTTATATTAACGACTTGTCAAATTGTTTAAAATATACTAAAGCGAATATGTTTGCCGACGACACGAATCTAACCACTGCAAGTTCAAATAAAGAAGAACTACAACGGCGATTAAATTTTGACCTAGAGCTTATGCACAACTGGTTGTTGGCCAATAAGTTGACATTAAATAAAAATAAAACAGAATATATGTTAATTGGTTCACACCAGAGATTATCGACTGTTGAAACTGACCCAATCTTAGAATTTGGTGATACAAAAATTAAGCGGGTTAAGCACGCAAAATCATTGGGCATAATTTTTGATGAGCATCTACTTTGGAAAAATCAAATGAAGCTATTTCAGGCAAAGTATCAAATGGTATAGGTATGCTACGACGACTAAAGAACTGTGTCCCCAAAACAACTTTGATTAAGGTGTACAATGCGTTAGTATTACCATATTTTGACTATTGCAGCCTTGTATGGAGTAACTGTAGTGATCAGCTGATCAGTAAGTTGCAGAAAATGCAAATCAGGGCAGCAAGGGTCATAACTGGCAGATCATACGAGACACCATCAAACGAAATTTTGAGGGAACTGGATTGGAAACCCCTAGTTGATCATTGGGAAAAAATAGTTTAGTAGTTATGTACAAAGCGAAGAGAAATGAATTACCAGAGAACTTGATGAACTTGTTTGAAATTAAAAATAACATTAATTATAATTTACGTAGCAACGGAAACGAGTTTACTCTACAAAAGCCTAAAGCAAATTTCATGAAAGAAAGCGTTAGCTAAAATAGTGCTAAAACATGGAATAATTTACCGAGATGTGTAAAAACAAGTTATGCCACAATTAGGCAATTTAAGACTACGCTTGATCGTATTAAACATTAAATGTAAAAGTAACTAAGGTCAGTCAGTTTTGGATGGTTTTATATCTTTTATAATTAATGTGTGATATCTTATAATTTTGACATTATGTAATTATTATGTATTGCTTCCATTTGTAAATATAGATTAATATAGTGTGAACGGCTCCTTGAAAACAATAACCTAGGCCTGTTGAAGGATAACCGTTGTATAATAAAATTTTTAATAATAATAATAATAATTCCGTTGCACCCCTCGTGGAACTACATAATTTTGACATGAATCAATAGATAAAAACTTACTTTATCAGAATCCGTTGCTCCCCAAGCGAAACAGGTGCACAATTGCGAAAATAATCCCTATAAAGTTTGCTATTTTCCCGCTTCGAAATATTCGAACCGCCATTGTTTGGATAGGAAATACGCATGCGCAAGTCAGTCAAACTCGCACTGCGCACGAGCAGACGCGAAAAATTGATTTTCCCTGTGGGTTTTCCCCGATTTCACCCGTAAAAACAACAAAATGAAATCACGGAATAAAGGTCAAACCTTGTGATATTAACGAATAAATACACACGCATTAAATATTGTTAAAAATGCATTGTACATTTTGCTTGCTCATATGCTAAATCACTTCAATTCTGTGGCTATTGTTTCAAAATACCGTTTAATTCCACTAATTAAACATCCTAATTCAATACAAATTTGTGTATCAAACAGGATGGAGATTATTTAAATATACATACAATTCACACGATCAAAGAACAAATTAACTATTTCGCTAAAGCCTTTTCAAAACGCAAGAAACATTGTTGCGGAAGTATTCGCGATTTTCAATGTTTGCTCAAATGGTTCCCCATAGGAGTATCGGCCGGGAGGGGGGGAGGGCACGTGCCCCAATTTTATCGTCGGGAAAAGTTGATAAGAACGCGGTCTACAATGAATAATTAAATATAATAATGCCAATATTAATTGCTTTTAATATACCTTGCCATATAAAAAGAACACCTGGCTCTGTAGATGAATGATGATGGTTTATGACAAAGATTATGAAGTTAGTTATATAGTTAGCATAAATTTTAGAGCAAATTTGGATGCTCAGAATGCAGGAAATTGCACTTCCACGCTTCAAGTTTCATTTTCTGGGGGACTATGCACACAGACCCCCTAGGGATTCATGCGTGCTATGTCGAGCAAAGTTGTATATGTGTACTGTGTAAGCAAAGCGGTCGGGCAAACTAATAAGACAATTTTCCATTGCAGTCGCTTTGCGGGCGGAGCGAACATTACTCAACTTTCTCTGTAGTTGTCTATCCTGTGCATTTTTTGTCCGTTTGAATGCTCGTGGACACGCCATGAAAGTAGAACTCCATTTATCTTTCTTGACGTGCCCGCGCGACTGATTTTTCACGTGATTAAAATTGGTCGCTCCACCCACCCACGCGGGCAAAGCGACCGCAATGGAAAATTGCGTTTAGGGAGCTGCTGGCATGGTCATCTATCTGATATTGACTTGTTCTTCGTTTACTTCCCGACCAAACTCGCTGATTTAAGGTGGTGACATAACTGTTTGGAGTGCACCTTTCCATATGCGGCATTGATATGATGTACGATTTGTATGTAAGTAAAAGAACGTCATTCGTGCATGGCATGGTGTTCAATCAGCGAGTTTGGTTGGGAAGTAAACGAAAAGCAAGTCAATATCAGATGGATGCCGGCAACTCCTGATGGAAATTTGGAAAACGTTACTGTGGTTGTAAGTCTGGATATTCACCGAGACATTGTGCCCGTCAAAAACCCGAGAATAGAAGTGTAATGGTCTTTGTTCCGGTTGCGATTGCACAAATTCTCCCCACCCAAATACAGACGAGAACGATTTCTCAGATGATGAAGGCCTATTATTCGAACTTGATGGCTATGACACTGGATTTGATGGCATATTTGAAGAACAATGATGGTAATGCACTTACTCTGTGCAGTGCAGTGCAGTGCAGTGCAGTGCAGTGCAGAGCAGTGCAGTGCAGTGCAGTATTTGGTCATGGTTGAGAAGCTAAACGCACCCTGGCAGACGAGATGAAACGCATTTGCAAGCAGCAAATCTATAAGAAAAAGTCAACAAGTGTGAGCACGAAAAAACAGGTTGAATCGTTCCTCGCCATTCTAGATAGTGGTTAAATACCAACCTATGTCACAATATAATATTTGTAATAGTTAAAATACGAGAAGTAGAACTTTACCAGACAAAAGCCAGAACAGTTTATTGTAGAATACATGCAATCTCGTTTTGAGAGTAGGCGGGTAGACCCTAGGCCAGGATCCAATAAGTGGGATTTTATTGCACTGATGAAAATCTGGGCTCAAGGATGAAAATATGTCTTTAAATTATAGATAGTTATGATGAAATTATGGATCTTATATTTCCTCCCAATTTATCTTTTTTATGTTGAATTTCGAGTTGATGCCCGGGACATGTTTCTTTCACAGATAAAAGTCCTTTACTGGTGCAGTCCGGCTTCGTTGGTTGGAACAGATGGTTGGAAAAGATGGTGGGAACGAATGGAAAAGTTGGTCCAAATCTAAGATTGGTATCCATAGAATATACTTATGCGATGGATGGAACGCACAATTTAAGAAGCGCTAAACATATCTTGCAATAGCCTGATAATACACAGAGGCGTCAGAAGGGGATCCCAGCACTCCCCCACTTTTTAGTTTGGGGGGCCTAAATGTCTTTGCCCCCCTCCCACTTTTTATTGATATTATTTCAGTTACACGTATAGACAAAACAATTTGGGATATTTTATGACATTTTGTTACTTTTAGAACTGTGTAAATCTCCTTCTAAAGTGCAGGAAATGGCATTTCAGAGACTCGCTAGTTTCAAAATTTTTCAAAGGAGCATGCCCCCAGATCCCCTAGAATGTCACTAAGTGTGCGCTAGGGCAAAGTGTGCGTTAGGGCGAAGTGTGCCCGCCCACTTTTAGAGCCGCTCAGACGCCCATGATGATTCATTAAAGATTCAATCAGAGGTTTTCCTGGGAGTTTATATAAATATCCCTTAATGCCCGGGACAAACTGGGAAACATTGTTGCGCAAATTTGTCATATTATTTGTCTTACAGTATTAATGTTTCGGTATTTTATATTGGCTTACGGTTACCAACGTCTTCAAACGGAGAAAAAGTGTTTCATCAAATGTTTATTAGGATGTTAATAAGTAAGAATTAAACGTTAAAACGGTATTTTATTTATACATACAATTCACACGATCAAAGAACAAATTAACTATTTCGCTAAAGCCTTTTCAAAACGCAAGAAACATTGTTGCGGAAGTATTCGCGATTTTCAATGTTTGCTCAAATGGTTCCCCATAGGAGTATCGGCCGGGAGGGGGGGAGGGCACGTGCCACCCTTGGGCATGCGTATTTGATACTAAAACAATAGCGGTTCGAATATTTCGAATATTCAGTCTTAGGCTTGGGCAAATGGAGTTTAGTGGAAGAGCCCCGCAAATTATAATGCTGGGAGGAAGACGTCTTTTTAAAAAATATCAGTAAGTCGTAAGGGCGCTAGATCATGAGTAATTTTATACATAAGACTTGCCTCAAACTGGGTTCTGCACTTCTGCGTTCGCTCAGAGGCTTCCAGTTTAATTCATGTAGAGCAAGTTCAGATTGAGCATGTTCATTTTTACGACCCACGATAGCTCTAGCAGCCCTATATTTTGTAATTACTGTAGACGATCAGAAAGTGTAGTACCAATGGTGTCCCAAACTTCGCAACAGTAATCAAGGTGAGGCAAAACAAGTGCATTATAGGCACAAATTAATGTATAACGGTCTACACGTGATTTTAACTTTCTGATTGCCCCAATTCCGGATGAGACTTTTTTGGCAATTTTATCAATATGCTTTTCCTATGATAGAAATTCATCAATATAGACTCCAAGTGCCTTTGTTTCTCTTACCCTTTTAATTGGTATGTCACCAATAAATACCTTTGGGGTAGCCAATATATTATTAATATTATGCCGTGATCCAATTAGTATGTACTCAGTTTTAACGAGATTTAAAGATAGTTTATTTGCACAGACACAGGACGAAAAGCGTGTCATTAATCAGCTTGCATTTAGTGAGGATGTGAGGATATTAAAGCGAGTTAAAACCAACATTAAACCGCACATACTTTAATTACCTTTAATGCGCAGATTAAATGTTGACTAAAGGCAGAAATAACATTTAATCACGTTTAGTTTTATCTTAAATAAAGACAAAACTTAACACACACTGTCGATAATTCAACAGAATTAGATAATGCTGAATATTACAGTATAAACATGAAATGCTATACGTTATATCACCTGAATTTAGGCGCTTATATAGACAGCGCAATTCGCTTGGACAGTTGATTCTATTGACATATATAAATATACAAATATAATTTTATCGCCAAAGGCAAAATACCTAAAACAGAAGCTGAGTATATCATTTTTTAGATAGACAAATTTCTTTATTTTGTATATGAACAACATACAATTTCTACATGTACTTACACACAGCTAGTCGTTTTACACAAGGATCTTTCGTATTTCCACTTTCTCCAATAAAATAAGGGACCGGTCATTATTTATGGAAGGGGGGGGAGGGGAATTTTTTCTTTTCTAAATTTTTAAAATTGAAAGCCCCCCCCTAAAAGAGCAGAAATTTAATGATGACCCCCCTGCATATTTGAATATTTTTCTTTGACCCCCCCCCCCATTTCTCTTTTACTCGTCAAATGGGGATACCCAGGCGTTATAGTGTTAATTATTAAATAAGAATATGGAACTGGCAAGATATTAACGTCGACCAAAAATATATTAGCAGAAAATTATAATTAAAAGAGGAGTATTTTTATATATAACACTAAAATCAGGTTTCCATTTGGTCTGGGCGATTGTAACCATGTTTAAGGCTGCAACTAGACTTGATGGTACGAAGTATTGCCATAGCAGCTGCGCAGCAACAATGAGAGCAACAATCAGTAATATTAGCAGCAAAAAGAGATAGTTTAGCAATGACAATTCTGCCAAGGCATACCTGCGAAATACAATGTATAGTGGTCTATACATCCTATTTTATGTGAGATTAAAAATTATATAAAATAAAATGACATATACTAGCTACCAGATAAAATCCTTTAGAATGAACATGGGTGGGTGGGTGGGTGGGTGAAAAGATATCGAAGCGCAAAACTTTAACTTGCTGCAGCTAGGCAAAGCATACAATGGCAGAATGAATACCCAGACCGAAGCACTGATCACAAGGCATGAAACAACCCCCTTTGATCGATATGACGTCACAGACTCCCCTCAGCGGATGTGGCCTGCATAATACATCCGCCGTTAACCTTGCTTAATTTAAATGTATTTAACCACATCAAGAGCTGATGTAATAATACATTGTCAATTTAACTAGTCTGCAAACCATAAATCTGATTTGCATACAGCACACACAAGACAAGATGAATCCAGACTATTTCACATCAGTGACCATGATTTAGTTGCAACATTTACAACCAAATGGATACCAGGTTATTAAGCAAATTTCTTCAAATTTAATTGCAACCCCCCCCCCCCGTCATTTTCTTGAAAAAATTTAATAGCCCCCCCTTCTTGTCATTTATTTCTACATATGGCCCCCCCTTATTTTTTCTCCCCCCCCCCCTTCCATAAATAATGACCGGTCCCTAATAGGTCATAATACACTGCCCTCGATCGTTGCTGAGATATACGGCCTTGGTCTCGTTCTCAATCTGACTCTTTATTTTATTCGTGAGACGCCTTTGTTTGGCATTTCCAAACTCTTTCTCGGCACAAACTTTCATTACGTCTGTTGCGTTTAAGACGTCGTTCCTCGGTGTAATTCGGTATTGAGACGTCGCTATTTTGTAGGTAGACAATTGACAATTCTGTTCAGCTTATGGAGGCACTGGGATTATAGCTTCCAGAAGATTGCGCATTCCACTGGTAGCAAGTGCGCCACTCGCTGTGTGGGAATGCTGGTTAAAATGCGCCATTTCAACCGGCTTTGCGCAAGGTATACCACCAAAAGCTTTACAGAATTGAAGGTTGTTGTATTAAACTGTCGCTGCGAGGTTCTATGTAGGTATAATTTGAATGCTATATTCCCGCGCGCGCTATTTTAAACTTTTCCCGGTCGGGTAACAGATCCCCTGTAGGCTGTGTAATAAAACCTCGATCTGACGGTGTAAACATAAGCCGTTTACGATTATAGAAGAACTATGGATGGAATCAATTTGCGAATTACTCAATTATATGTTAACAAGCCCAATTTTACTTTGCTCGTTGCTTTTTGGACGAAGGCTGATTTGATTTGTACGTGGGTGACCTCCCTAGTGTAGAGAAGAAATCTGATACTACGAAAGATTCCGACTGTGAACAATAGTTCGAAGTCCAATTCCCGTTGCTTTTACAATAAACGTCTGGCCTTTATAGCTGTCACAGTCACAGTTCGATACTTGCTAGCTGTAATTTTGATATGACTGGACCAGTATGTTTTGTTGTTGCAAAATATCGTAGAGGAAAACAAGCTCCTTAGAGAACAAAATAATAGCCAATACAAGTACAGGGAAATAGGGAATGAGAACGCGCTGAAGAATTTCAACGAGAAGATGGATATCATCACTCGATCTTATTCTGAGAGACGAGTCAGACACTCAGACAAACGGGAAAAATATACAGAGAGTGCCCAAAGGCAAGGCTTGCAATGTAAGTACATGTGAAACGTTTATTTATACAGTGTATATTTCCGTTTACAATTGTCAGACAATGCATCATTGCTTCGTACAGTATATGGATATAAAAAAAACTTTGTCCATTTGACCGTTATATAAATACAGTTTATTTGAAATATTGGCTCCAAATTTGAAATCATTTTGAAAATCAATGACATATACATATATCACTGTATAGTCCAGTCAGTCCAGTATTTTTTAGCTAAATACAGCACAATGGATTCACCGAATTAGTCTTTAAATTATATTATATTATATGCAACTGATTATTACCTGCTTCTTAAAATTGCCAGTATTAATTTCATACATTCGAGTGCCTCAATACGGTAATGCCTTCGTATCCTGTTCATGCATATATAGAAGCCAGACTGTCCTGCAGACAGTACGAGATGCGGGATGAATTTCTCTTGTGTTTATATGAGAAAAATTCATCCCGCTTGCCGGGAACAATTTTGTTATTCTGTTTGATATATTTTATGGTTTTGACAGTAAGTTAGAAATAGCTTGCGGCGGTATATTTGAACTTTCATCCTGGAAAACGGCCTATACCCCGCTCGTGAGTGTTTAGATGCATAAATTTCCATCCCAGTAAGCGAGATCTCGCCTCTCTCGCCTCTGGCAGCCCGCTTGTCTATATAAATGCGCAGCAATTTTTACTATAAAAATAACTACACAGTGTGAGCGAGATCTTGCTTACCGGCCTATCTTGCTTAGCCTTAGGCCTAAAACTTGCGGATTTTGTATTGTAACTATGACAAGATAGATAGATCATAAGCAGTATAATGTACAACTATAGCAGCAGACTATAGGATTATTTGCCAAATCAAAAGCCCTAAACCCAGAGTTTAAGGTTTTCGAAGATAACCTTTTTTCAATTAGCTGTTACCATGCATACAATATAATGTTGCTAATATTATCTGTGTTCATTTTTAGAAACTGGCAAGAACATTCAAACATCTTAATAAAGTTAACTGGAGCCAGGAAAGAGTGTCAAAGGTGGCAGATGGCTTCCGACGATGGAGTACATGTCATCCGACAAAAGTGAGCTAGATGGACGAAGAAACTTATAGGGTGAAACAGTACAACGTGCGAAAGTTTGCCTGGGAAAGCAAAGAAGAATCGATAAAGAATCACTAGGATTTTCTGCCTGGACTATCAAGGAGAGTCATGACTCATAATAGCAAGGGGAACCATCGAACCTGGCAAACCAGCGAACACGGCCAACTGTCCATGCAGATTGGGCACATATGAGGTTGAAAATGGACCAGCGCAAGTCGCAGATGTTGACACAAATCCGCCACTTTATAGAGGGAATGAGCTCGTTATTTACTTGAAATACATTATGAAACAGCTACCAGTCAGGACCATGCAGCGCTAAAAATTTAAGGATTTGCATCATTCGCTTGGCTTTGCCCGCTCTGCATGTTTTAGTCTTAATTGCCTTTTACCGTTTCCAGGGCAATATAAGTGAATTTAGCTGTGTACACTGTAAATTTCAAGGAGTTCAAGCAACTCAAAATGTTTTATTTTGTAACCAAAAAGGTCTAAAACGACTACAGAATAACATTTTACAGTTATTATACAGACTCCTTGAAATTTACAGTGTATTGTACATAAATTGGCAACAATTTTTGCCAGTTGAAAAGAATTTTCTAAAGAACGAGTCACAAACATTAGTCACTTTTATCTTACAAAGCCAATCTCAAAACGTGATAATTTTAGGTTCCGTTTTTATACTGGATCTTTGTCCGCACAAATCCGTTTTCGTATAGTGTTTTCTATATTTCCTTGTAAACGGATGACAATATCGTACGTGCGAACGCTATGCGAGAAAGGATTAGTCTGGGCTTATTATAAATGTTCAGTTCGATATATAATTTTAGTTTCATTTTCATACATGAACGGGTGTAGTATATGTATATGTTATAATAAATTTATTTTAAAGATGAACGCGTGTTGTATATTTGAGTTAATGTTGCATTTCATCATTACAAATGATTACTCTGATTTTTACATGTTCTTATAATAATTACCGAAGCATGTACCTTGAGTCATGCAAGCAAGACAGGGTTTTTGTAATCATGATCCATAAATAATACTGTATTGTCAGAAAATATGACACAAATTCGAGATTTTCAATTTAAAAAGCGCAATAAAAAGCCCAACGTCACAAGCGATGCAACTTATTGCAAATATAATAGAGCGACTAAATAGAACTAAAATGGCACTTACACAAAGTTTAATCAATGTATGAAATGTGATTAATTCATTCTTTATATCGCTTTAAGCGGTCTTTAATCAACTGATTAAATTTACCTTTAATAACCCATAAGCAACACATTTTTGTATGATTAAAGTTGTCTTTAATCAACAATTCTACCAATATTAAAGGCGAATAAATACATCTTTAACCGCATTTTATCGGTCTTTAATCGGCCGAATTAAATGCACACTTAGTATCCTTTATTGAACTTTAATCTCTGCGTATTAATGTGGTCGTTAATACACTTAATGCAACGAACTAAAGGTGTTAAAACGCACCTTTAATCTCTTTAATAAAACGCATTAAGTGCGACTAAACACGAATAAAATACACCATTAATCCTACTTTAATAGCATATTAAAGGTGCGCTTTTCGTCCTGTGATATTTATAAAGCTAATGGAAATAATCTTTTTGAAAATTATAGACCTATATCGGTTTTAACTTGTTTTTCTAAATTACTTGAAAAACTTATGTACAAACGACTATATAACTATGCTGAGAAACATAAAATACTTTTGGAACATCAATTTGGTTTTAGAAGGAATAAATCAACTGAACATGCCATTCTTGAGCTAACCGATAAGATTTTGAAAGCAATGGACGAAGGTATATATGCAATACTAGGTATTTTCCTTGATTTTTCTAAAGCCTTTGACACAGTGAATCACGAATTTCTAATAAAAAACTTGAACACTACGGAATTAGAGGAATATGTCTACAGTGGTTTACAAATTATTTACAGGAAAGAAGCCAAATTGTCAAATATAAGCAACATAGGTCAAATGAAATGAATGTTACGACTGGAGTTCCACAGGGTTCAGTAGTTGGACCACTCTTATTTCTAATATACATAAACGATATTGAAAATTGTAGTAACATCCTTTCTTTTGTTTTATATGCTGATGATACAAATGTTCTTTGTTCAAATTCATGTTTAAAAACATTAGCTGACATTATACAAAATGAAATGAATAAAATAGTGGCATGGCTAAATGCCAATAAATTATCAATCAACCCATCCAAAACAAAATTTATCATTTTTAAATCAAGAAATATATCATTGAATCAAGAAATTATACTCTCAAAATAAATAATAATATTATTAAACAAGCATCTTATGTAAAGTTTTTGGGCGTATTAATTGACCACCATTTTTCATGAAAGAACCACATTAGCTCAGTTCAGAAAAATGTAATAAAATCCGCGGGTTTGATTGCAAAATTAAGACATTTTACTAACAAAAACAGTTTGAAATTGGTATATTATGCTTTAGTCTATCCATACCTCACGTACGGAAATCTAGTTTGGGGAAATACCCAAACCAGGCTTCAAAAGTTACTGAATGTGCAAAAGAAAATTGTTTGACTAATTAGTTTTAAGAGAGGCTGTCTGTAAATATCACCTATGTCGTGCAGAACGTGAAAATCAAAATTGCTCAAACTTTGTCAAAATGTAAGTTAGTTGGACCTGATAAGATAAAAATGTGTTTAACTCTGATTCGAAAAATATTTTTAACGAGAAGTCGATATTTGTGTTCTCACGGCAGATGGGCCTATTTTCAGGGCGATATACAAACTACTTCAGATTGAGCTTGTTTACGCTGGTAAATCAAAAGTACTGCACATTTAAACTTAGTTTTCATAAAACACAAGCACTAACGTACAAGTAGAAGCCATCAAAGTCGAATTTGATCTAGATTTGAATATTTTATCGATTTTTCAACTTGTCGCTTGTTTTACGCAATTATACACTATGTCCGATTAAAATCCATATATCGCCACTGATACCTCGAATGAGAACATGAACATTATACCAATGTTTTCAGCAAGGACTGATCTTTCGATAAATGAAATAACATTTTTGGGCCATACAAAATTTCAGGAGTTTGAGCGAGTAATGGAAAGGTCGAATTGCTCCAAAACGGCTGTTTACGCAAAGCAGCAAAATGAATTAATTGCCTTGAAAAATAGCCGATTATAATTTAAATATAATCTTGTTAGCTAAATAGATAGCAAAGTAATGTGAGAATAACTGTACATTAACTGAAGTTCGTGTCGTTCTTCAGCTTTTTTGAAGTCAAACGGCTGCAGTGCGCTAATGACTTTATTATTTATATTTATTAAAAACATCTTTAAACACGGTGACTAATCAACCAGTATTAAAATATTTACAAATCGAAAGGTTGCTTTTCATTAGGCCGTGATGAACACAAACTACAACGCCCCCTCCTTCCCCCAGAGAACCCCTCTCAAAAAGTGTAAAAGATACAGTTACTATATTTATTTAACTGACTACCCCTCCTCCCCCTAATGAAGCCCTCCCAAAAAGTGTAAAAAATGCAGTTACTATACTATATTAACTGACACTTTGGTTCCAGACTTTAGCAGCAGCATATCTGAATGTTCTTTTCAAAGAATTAGTTTTTGATTTCGCTAGTACAAGCTTGCTATTGTTGCTTCTTAAGTCGTATCGTTTAGAATTGGACATTATAAACATGTTCGAAATGTTTTCAGGGCATTGGCATGCAAGAGCCTTAGATACACATTTTAATTGCTGCTCATTTCGCCTTTCATCTAACGTTTTCCAGTTCAGTTTGCTCAAAATGTCAAGGGAGCGTACTTCATGAGTCGCCTGAAATAACCCTTGCCGCTCGGTTTTGGAGTCTCTGTAACATCCCTTTTAAGGTTCTGCCACAGTTACCTCAAACCATTGAACAGTAATCAAAACTTGGTTGAACCAAAGCTTGATAGAGATAGGTAAGAGTTCCAATTGAAACAAGTGGTTTAATTCGGCGTAACATGCCAATGCCTTTTGAAACTTTTTTACTGATGTTCTCAATTTGCTTGTCCCAGCATAAATTTTCATCAATTATAACGCCCAAAGTTTTCTTTGAGTTTACTTGTTTAATTACTTTGCCATCAATGGACACTGTGATATCTTGCAAAAATCTACTCAATCTTTTGTGAGTTCCAATGACCATATACTCTGTTTTTTCTACGTTTAATGTTAATTTGTTTTTTCTACGTTTAATGTTAATTTGTTTGAGACGAGCCATTGATGAATATTGCTCATTTCATGATTGAGGGTTTTTTCCAAATTATTAAGACCATCTCAACCAACAGTTATATTTGTGTCATCAGCATACATTGCGGCATGTGAATTTTCCAAACAGTTTGGAAGATCATTGACATATTTAAAACTAAGTTTGAGCGATTTTGATATTCACATTCTGCACGACATAGGCGATATTTACAGACAGCCTCTCTTAAATCCTATATGGAACATTCAAAACCACTATGTTTGGATTTGAAAGTCTTGAACATCTACCAAATCAATGATTATTTATGTAGTTTATTCATGTATTGTCGCTACTATTGTCAAAATTTGCCGGACGTTTATAATGATTACTTCAAATAAAATATCGATGTACACAACTATAATACACGAAATTCTACCAAGTTACATGTGAGTTATAAATAAACAAACTACCGTATATATAATGTATTTAACAAAGGAATTTCTTTATGGAATTTTCTTGATGACGAAATTAAAAATACTAAAACTTATTTTTCTTTTAAGAGAAAAGCAAAATCCCTTTACTTATTATCTAATTAATGTAAATAAATTATAAAAACCTTAGCAATAACCTTGGGAACACTAATGATAGCAATCTACTATTTTATTTCTTAGTATTTTTTCATCTTTCAATTTGTTGTAAATATGAGTTTCTGCTTGTATATAATTTCTTCTTTCATAGTCTTTTATCACTAGAATACTAAAGTTAGTAGGGACCTTACTATAGAAGTCCAACAGGGTTTCCAAAGGTCCCTAGCCCATTATTCTACTGTAATTATTTTTTTACTACTTGTATGTATTTTGTGGGCAAAAAATTAATAATAATATACATGTATATTGTATTTTCTGTTAAGTATTTGCTAAGTTGACATGTATACTTTTATATATGTGTGATTTGTTTGAAATGCATATACACTATGACGAATGCATAAACTCATGACGAAGGGCTTTCATTCGAAACGTCGAGATTTTGCTTGCTTTTTAAGGTAGTAATATAACCACTCGGCACAGCCTTTTCACATTGGTGCTACCCACACTGTGGTGCCACCATATTCACATTAATAGCATGTAGACAGCATTTCCCAATATTACCCATTGTATGCCATGTACTTCCTATCATAATGGTAACCCTTCTATCAGTCAGCCTAAAACATGTGTATGGGGCTGCTTATTTAGAGGCAAGCCAGCCTAGGTAACTATCCTGGCTATAGCTCGCTTTGGCTGAATGAATGCCTGTTTACATGAGCCTCTTTAGATGGACAGGCTTGCCAAAACAAATCACCCAGACTGAGTTGTATCATAGAAGCACATTTTCCAATAAAGTAAACCGACATCATACACTGTACATTTCGGGGAGTTAATTTAACTCCAGTGGTATTATTTTGAACCTAATTTTAGTCCACATTTGGAGTTCATTGAGGTACAGTATAACTCCACCGGAGTTAAATTAACTCCCCGAAATTAACAGTGTACTTTTGCAGACAGTTTCGAAATGTAATCCATTGAGCTGCAATGCGCCCCACAAGCTCAGGTACACAGGTGCCACCATCACCTTATATAAACAGCCACTAAATCTACCTGGCTGGATTATATAGATATTTTTCAATTAGGAATATTGGAAAAAACAGTTATTATGCCCCAGTATTTTAAACACCCTTTACCAGAATAGTTATATTCCAAGATTTAGATGTTACGTCAATTGTATGCTTACATTAAACAATAAAAGCAGTTGAATTTTGTATTTCTTGCTTTGTATATTTATTACTAACCTAAAATAGGAAATTCATTGTCAATCAATCATAATTTGCTACCATTATATATCAACCTTAATAAATTTTACACAGTTTTCTTAATAGAGATTGTACTTAATATGGATTCATTATATATCCTGATGCTGAATGAAAAGTTATTAATTAATAAAAGCTTCCCAGGAGAAGGCAAGTTGTCTAAACAAGTGGCAATATATATATTCATTAATGGCATTCTAAGTACTTCATGCTCTATTTGGAAAATGTTATTCTTTTGCTGGAGAGTATGTTAATGGATTAACAAACCACACAAGGAATGGGGTTGCTGACTTGTGGTATGAAGCTTGTACTTTTAAGTTTTAACTAATGGACTTGTATGATATGTATGATTGAGCAGTGACACTACATGCAGTACAGGTATATTATACCTGTAAATATTCTAAATTGAAGAGAATGTTAACCTTTTATGCGCTAATTTGCTCTATCGTATTATTTTTCTGTCTAATCCATCAATTTTACTCATGAAGGAGAGAGTCCTGCCATTCAATGGGTTAAAACCTAATTTCTGTAGATGGAAATTTTGAACAATAACTAATATTCAGTGTATCTAATATGTATTGTGCCGGGAATGGAACCTGCTGCCCTGTGGTTCTGAACAGTTCCCTAACAGCCGAGAGTCCATCAAGCCCTGAGAGTTCAAGCCCCGAGAGTCCATCAAGCTAACCAAGAGTTCATGTATAGAATACCAGTGTCATCCCAGTTTATTTAATATACTACCAATGACACCACCATTGTATATATACAGCAAGTTATGGTTACATCTTGGCAAAATGACTCCTTAAGTCAGAGGGCTAGCTAAGATAAAATTGCAGAGCTGCATGTTCAATACATGTCGGCAGGCTTGTAATTTATTAAAAACTGTCTGTACCAGTACCATGTGTGGGTAGTACCAATGTGAAATTGCCACCAGTGCTCAGTGATTATATTACTACCTGAAAAAACAAGCAGAACTTAACGTTTTGAGCGAAAGCCCTTCGCCCGAAACGTCGAGTTTCTACACAGGGGGTCCAACTAACAGCTGTGTTATGAATAAAACATATTAATTAAACGTAATATGAATAAAACATCATAACGTAATATTGCACTTACTTGTATAAATCATAAGAGCTTGCATTTTAATACAGTGAATAGCTTCAAAAACTTGCTTCGTTCCAAAGACTTCAAATATGGCGAATAAATTGACAAAACGATAATATTACATGACGTTCCAACGAAAATAACAGAAAGGATTGCGGGCGCGAGCGGAAGGCGAGGGTAATATATATTAATAGAAGGGATGAAACACCGGTAATGCGATCGTGTGATGTGTTCCATAAGTAGCCTGTTCTCTCGGAAAATTCCAAAACGCCTCCTGCCAACTCCAACAACGCCTACGCGCTTAATTAATGAAAATAAACAATGTTTAGCTATACCGGCTAATATGAAATGTTTAAATGTAGCGACCAACGTTTTTTTTTACATTATTTAGTTTTATTATTATTTCGTCATACGTCACGAGAACAGGCTACTTATGGAACACATCTCGCGATAATGGCCAAGAATGCTCGCTGTTATAAATCACATAAATTAGATTGATCAGTGCTTTTTTGGTAATGACTAGGCTTGTTCATGTAAGAGAACATCGACTGAGCCTTAAAAACCCCACAAAAAGCTTAAACGGATAGTCTAGAAGCATTTTAAAAAGTCACGTGATATTTGTTTCATCCTTCTATTTATTTCTTTCCTCGCCTTTCCGCTCGCGCCCGCAATCCTTTCTGTTATTTTCGTTGGAACGTCATGTAATATTATCGTTTTGTCAATTTATTCGCCATATTTGAAGTCTTTGGAACGAAGCAAGTTTTTGAAGCTATTCACTGTATTAAAATACAAGCTCTTATGATTTATACAAGTAAGTGCAATATTACGTTATGATGTTTTATTCATATTACGTTTAATTAATATGTTTTATTCATAACACAGCTGTTAGTTGGACCCCCTGTGGTTTCTACCTGTTTTTTTTCAGGTAGTAATATAACCACTTGGCAAAGTAATTGTATTTCTTTGTAATTGCTCTCACATAGTTCTAAGAAACACATTGATTTCTAAGGTTAGTTAAGTCCTTTTCTTACTCCAATATGTAGGAATCATTTTGTCTACAATTTCTCAATGATTGCATGCATTATATAATACAGGTACCGGTAGCTGTAGCTTATTTAATCGTCTTATTATATATTGTATTGATATATTTTTTATTAAATTCCATGTATATATGTTCAGTGATGTATGGCTTAAAATTTTCTACATTTTAATGCAGTGAATAGGTTGTGACAACTAATTGGTCGAAATGACAAAAAAAATTGGTCAAAATGACAAAAAAAATTGGGCACCTGGATCTATGTCAGAGAATCAATTAAAAACGCTCGTTTTAACCAATAAAATTAACAATTAATTAATTGGTCATTTCAACCAATAATAATTGGTTAATATAACCAAATATTTTTGGTTGAAATGATCCATTAATTAATGGCTAATTTTATTGGTTAAAACGACCATTTTCAAATGGTTCTCTCAGATGGATCCAGGTGACCAATTTTTTTTGTCATTTCGATCAATCAGTTTTTACAGTGTATTAGGTTGAATGGCATTCTTGTCGTATATATAATTTATGTGTCCCACATCCATCATCTTATTGTTGGTTCATAAGATTTATTCACTACAAACTTGTTTCGTATGACAAGCAATGCTTGCCACACTCAGCAATATAAATTACTTAATATAATCTGTATATATATATATATATATATATATATACATATATATATATATATATAATCTATACGTAATTTAATACTTGAACATTCCGTTTACGTCAAACATGTATATAGTATATATAACCTTGGCAACAACATAGCGCAACATTTAAATTCACCTGATGAGTGTGGCAAGCATTGCTTGTCATACGAAACAAGTTTGTGGTGAATAAATCTTATGAAGTAAACCAGGAGTAGGTAACCCCCCCCCCCCCATATGGGTACGGGAGTAATTAGTATTCAAGCGAATGTATGTATGACGTCATATCATCAATGACATTACCGAAAATACCCGCATAAATTATCAAGTATGAACGTTCAACTATTGCCGCATAATTTATTATAAGTATGAACGTTCAGCTATTCCCGCGTAAATTATAAAGTATGAACGTTCAACGGTATGTATCCGGTTTAATTGTAAGCATTAATTCATTGTATTGCACACGTCTATAAAAGAGACTGCGCGTTTATTCACTGACATCATTGCATACTAAGCCTTTGAAAATGAATTTTTTACAAAATTTTGAGCAATCGAATTGGGCCAACAGTGTTCATGCAGACGAAGTTTCGTCCTCGGACTATAAAAGGTTTTTTAGTTTGTTAGAGGCTATATATGCAGAGGCTGTTGCTTACGAAGTTGGTAAACTTGCTAAAGAGAGATGTTGTGGTTGTGAGTACGACCATCCGAGTCAGCGCCAGCATGACTGTCTCATGTTATCAGAACAAGAGAGATGGCAATCGTATGGTTTGGAAGCCATAGAGCGAGTGATTGTTAAGCGTATGGTTTGGAGGGAGTTTGTTGGGGCTATTTGAGTGATGAAGTTACAGTATCATAAAGATGTTCGAGAGCACTTTGACAATTTGGAGAAAAGTCCTGATTCAACGTTTGTTTACTCGCTGATGGATCTTCGTGAAAACACCGAGGATAGTGAATTTGAGTCAATTTTGAACTATCTTTCATACTGGAGAGAGGATAAACTTTTAGACGAAATTTCTAGCTGGAAAGAGGATTGTCGTGATGACCCGCTTGAACCTGGGGCTCCGGTCTTTTTTTCGATGCCCCCTAGTTTTAAGTATACTGTGAAAGCGACAGGCGAGCAATTTAGAAGTCATGAAGAGGATCATTATAAGGCATATGTGGAATATTTGAGAAGTAAACTTAGAGATTCAGTGTAAATATGTTAATAAACGAGTTTCGTTTTTATTCTTTTTATAAAATTTAGGGTTCTTAAAAGAACCGGTGTTTTGTGTTTGTCTTTACTGTTGCAGCCACATCGCAAAGGCTTCGACTTCGACTTTTGGGCAGTGTTGATAAGCGTTGCTTTCCAGGTGGTTCCCGCAGGTTTCTAACCAGATCAGTTGATCAAATAGTTTTTCAGCTTTGGGACAATTAAAGCATTCCAAATTTACGGCCGGAATACGGAGACTCGCCAGCAAGTCCCTTTCATAATGTCCGCCTTTGAAGGCAATTGTAGAGTTTGAATCTATCTGTATTTCACGGTAGAAATTCTCTACAATTGCCTGCAAGTCCGAAATTTGAAATGCTTTAGTGCCCCGTGGCACTCCAAACGGGAGTTTATGTATATTCTTCTGGACGAAGTTACACATTCTCTTGTCTTTCTCGTTGAGCTTGTTCCAGTGTAAACCAATATCGAAAAAGAACGACGAGGCTTCAGGGTTGTTACGAGCGTGGTCCTTAATATTAATATTTCCCGCGTTTTGGTTCGATTTCTCTCGCAACAAAGAATCAGTGTGAGTCAGTTACGTTTATCTAACTATTTATTTCTTTAACTTGCTATATTAAAGTAGCGTCTTTATAATACTATATCCAATTACTATATAATTAAAACTATATCAGTTCAACTTATCTCTTTTCTGTCTGACTGAGCACAACTCTTTCGTCTTCTTCACGTAACGTCGCTTTTTAACTTCAATACTCTTTCGTATATAACTTGTAACAATCTTTCCTTAACAATCTTCTTTATAATAGCTTTTCCAAAATGATATTCACGTAAGGCGCTAAGGCCTATGAATAATGTAACTGAGGCGCTGAGGCCTATTGAATGAATAATGCATAAGAGTTGTGCTCTCCCTTATATATGTTCAGAGAGGAACGTTTTATTCTTGCAGTGTCATTTCGTGGGAAGATTTTTACAATCTTCTTGCGGTAACCGTTCCCGTCCATTACGCACTTGTGGTAACTAAATATTTGCTTGCTCATGCATGACTAAGTTAAAAGAAATTCCCATGCGTAAAACAATTTCCCATAGGTAAATTCTTTAGAGTAAATATAATATAACTAAACTATGATATAATATATATAGTAAAATGTAAATGTATAATATAAAATGTTATAAAATATATACATGATAATTGCTATCATGTAACACCCTCCTTGAAGAAAAGAAAGTTGATAGACTTTCTTTCAATTTCTCATGGAATATGTTCATGGTCTTGAGAGACAGTCCGCGATCAAGTTATCTCGTCCTTTGATATGGTTTATGACCATATTGTACTCAGAAAGAATCAAGCTCCATCGCAACAAACGTTGATTCTTATCCTTTAACTTGTGGAGGAACACAAGGAGATTGTGGTCAGTGTACACGATGAGGGGAACTTCGGGGGAGGAAACATAAACATTAAAGTGTTGCAGGGCGAGAATAAGGGCAAGACATTCTTTTTCAATGGTGGAATAATTTTTCTGACTTTTATTGAATTTTCTTGAAAAATAACATACCGGATGGTCAATTCCATCTTGGTCTTCTTGGAGTAATACACCACCAGCTGCAACATCACTTGCATCAACAGCTAACTTGAATGGGCGTGTGAAGTCAGGTGCAGACAAAACAGGAACACGTTGCAACATTACCTTGAGTTGCTCAAAAGCAAACTGGCATTGTTCAGTCCAATAAAACTTGGCGTTCTTTTGCAGCAACCGAGTTAAAGGCTCCGTGATAGCAGAAAAATTTGGGCAGAACTTCGGGTAATAACCTGCCATACCGAGAAAACGCATCACGTGTTTTTTCGACGCCGGTTGAGGAAACATCGAGATGGCTTCGACCTTTGCTTCGACAGGCTTCACTTGACCTTGCCCGACGATATGTCCTAAGTAGGTGACATGACCACACCCAAACTCACTCTTTAATAAATTGATCGTTAGCTTCGCGTCGCTGAGTCGTTTAAAGAATTTCCGCATAATCTTCAAATGTTCTTCCCACGTATCACTGTATATTATTACGTCGTCAATGTAACCTTCGCAACCTTCGATCTCCGCGATAACATTATTTATCAGCCGTTGGAAGGTCGCTGGCGAATTACGCATGCCAAAAGGCATCACTTTATATTGGTAGAGACCTTTCGGAGTCACGAATGCTGAGACCTCTTTCGCACGTTCAGTAAGTGGAATCTGCCAGAAACCTTTCAATAAATCAAACTTGGAGACGTATTTTGCAGTTCCAATTTTGTCAACACAATCATCAATCCGCGGAATGGGATACGTATCCGCCTTCGTCACATTATTAAGTTTTCTATAGTCCGTGCACATCCTATAACTACCATCAGGTTTGGGAACTAACAAACAAGGTGAACTCCAGCTACTTTGGCTTGGTTCGATGAAATCATTCTCGAGGAGGTACTCGATTTCTGCTTCGAGGTGTTTTTGCTTCGTTGGGTTTAGACGGTATGGGTGTTGTTTGATATGTGGCGCATCGTTGATCTCTACGTCGTGGGCAATATGGTCTGTCCTGGAGGGTACGTCTGGAAATAAGCATTGGTATTCCTGTACTAAAACTTCGATGTCTCTTCGTTGAGATTCACTTAGGTGGCTTAACTTTGTATCCATATTGCGAAGAACATCAGAGTTATGGAGTTTAGTTGACTCAGACAGATTGAAGAGTTCGGTTGTATCTTCTATATTAGTATTTTCTACATCTATGACGTTAACTACCTGCACACCATTCTTTCTCTCATAATATGATTTTAGCATATTTACATGACATAACTGCTTATTCTTACGTCTATCGGGGGTAACTATGACATAATTTAAATCATTCTCTTTCTTTTCTACGAGGTAGGGGCCAAAATACCGTGCTTGAAGTGTATTTCCAGGGACAGGAAGTAACGCAAGAACCTTATCACCCGGCTGAAATGTACGACTGACACAATTTTTGTCGTACTGATTCTTCATGCATTTTTGGGCCGACTGGAGGTTTGCTTTGGCTAATTCGCATGCTTTAGACAATTTTGTTCGAAAGTCCGAAACATACTGTGAAAGGTCTAATGAATTTCCACTGGCAGAAAGTAACTTTTCCTTTAAAAGATTAAGAGGCCCCCTAACTGTGTGACCGAAAACTAGCTCGAAAGGACTAAAACCTAATGATTCCTGAACTGATTCCCTGGCTGCGAACAAAAGTAAATGGACGCCATCGTCCCAGTCTTTTTCGGTTTCCAGGCAGTAGGTTCGCATCATGCGTTTAAGAGTTTGGTGGAATCGTTCAAGTGCACCTTGGCTCTCGGGATGGTAAGCGGTCGACTTATATTGCTTTATTTTTAATTCGTGCATTACTTGTTGGAAAATACCCGACATAAAATTTGATCCTTGATCCGATTGAATAGATTTTGGAAGACCGACCAAAGTAAAAAATTTTGTCAATGCTTGAACAATTGTTTTAGTTTTGATATTTCTTAATGGTATAGCTTCCGGAAAACGGGTTGAAGCGCACATTATAGTTAATAAATACTGATTTCCCTTTTTGGTTTTTGGTAATGGGCCGACACAATCAATCAAAATTCGACTAAAAGGCTCGTCGAAGGCTGGTATCGGTTTTAAAGGTGCTTTCGGAATAGTCTGGTTAGGTTTACCTACGACTTGGCAGGTGTGGCAAGTTTTACAAAATTCGACCACATCTTTTCGAATACCAGTCCAGTAAAAATGAGTAATGATTTTTTGGTACGTTTTATTTATTCCTAAATGACCAGACAGTGGTGTTTCATGAGCCAAACTGAGAACTTCGGGTCGATATGTTTTAGGTATCACAATTTGGTATCGAACTAGCCATTCTTCATTTACTGGGACAGTGGAAGGTCGCCATTTTCTCATTAAAATACCGTTTTTCATAAAGTAACAAATGGGATCCTTTGCTGCGTCAGCCTCGTCTGGAGCGGTTTGAATCAATACTGAAATATCAGGATCATTTTGTTGCTCGGTGATGAGATTTGATGTTGAAAATTTTTCATTGTTTTCGGAATTTTCAAATAACTTAGGAAGAAACGTATCCGAAATATTGTTCTCATCCGCATCCTCTAAACCTAATTGTTGTCTTTTGCCCATTGCTCTTGTAACGGCACACGATGGATATAAATTTGGTATAATGTCCTCAATAGGATCAGGACTTTGGGAAATAATCGGCTTATCGCTCAAAATCGGATCAACATTAACTTTACTTCCTGCAAGATCATTTCCAAGTATTAAATGAATTCCGTCAAACGGTAGGGAGTCTATAATGCCTATTTGGACTTCCCCTGAAACTAATTTCGACTGTAAGTTTATATTGTGCAATGGAACTGACGTATACTTTTGGGCATCAATTCCTTTTATTAAAGCATTTTTCCCTGAGTAGGATCCTTTGGAAAAGGGAAGGGTGTTGGTCAAGACCAAAGACTGAGAGGCACCCGTGTCTCTTAGTATCTTAATTTGTGAAATCGCCGATTCATCATTCTGAAAAGAAACTGAGCCGTCAAATACAAATGGTTGAAATACTTTCATAATGGGGTCAACGTGGTCAAATGGGTTTTGATCAGAAACAGATGGCCGGTCGTTGTTATTTGAATCGTTAGACAGTAAGCCAGTCGGTTTTGGATGTTGCTGTCCTTTTGCTTCTTTATTTTTCAGTTTGAAACAATTTGTCATTGTGTGTCCCTCGCCTCGGCAGTACCCACAGGTTAAGGGTTTAAATGGTGTTTTCTGTTCCGGCGGCCTAAGATGCGGTGGTATGTAACGAGGTCTGTTATTAAAATTTTGATCGTGAAACTTTTGTTTCTCAAATCTACCGTTATTTAGACCGTTTAAGTTTTCCGGATAACTGCGAGGAAAATTCCTAGGTGGTTGTCGTCCTTCAGAATTTGAATTGTTGTTGCCGCGAGAAAAAGACTGAGTTTGTGTTTTATTGGTAGAAAATTTGTGTGTAAGAGAATATTCGTCTGCCAAGCGAGCGGCGGCTGTCAAATCTTTTGGCTTCTGTTCGTTTATAAACGTACGTATGTCATTATTGATGCACCTCTTAAATTCCTCAAGAAGCATTAATTCGCGTAAACGTTTGTACTCTTTATTTATGTCTTCCGAAAGACACCAGCGATCAAAAAGTTGTTCCTTCTCTTGCGCAAACTGAACGTAAGTCTTGTTTATGTTTTTCTCAAGGTTCCGAAATTTTTGACGATAAGCTTCGGGGACCAACTCGTATCCTTTTAGGATGAATTCCTTGACAGTGTCATAATCACTAGACAATTCAGCCGAAAGTTCCGAATAAACATTACGAGCTTTACCCGTCAACACGCTTTGAAGCAACATAGTCCAATTTTCTTTTGGCCATGCACAGTTTTTGGCTACTTTTTCAAAATGTAAAAAATACTTGTCAACTTCCCGCTCCTGGAAAGGTGGAACCATTCTAATATGTTTTGTAAAATCGAAAACGGAACTTTTACTAGTTCCTGAAAACCTATCAGCCTGAGCTTGTATTTCTAACTTTTTTAGTTCTATCTCTAATTCCTGTTGTTTTAATTTAAACTCTCTCTCCCCTCTTTCTCTTTCCATTTCCATTTGCTCTCTTTGCCACTTTCTCTGTTCTTGCTCTCTCTGCCATTGTCTATCTTCTTGCTCTCTTTGCCACTGTCTCCTCTCTCTTTCTAACTCATCCCTATTATTTTCCTCGGTTAAAGTTACTTGACTATCGCTTATTGTTTCTGAATTCTGAGTTTGCGTATTTTTATATTTCTCTAAAGCAGACTGTTCGAATGTCTCTTGTTGGACTAAGTGTTCCATAATTATTTCTTGTATTTCGCGCTTTCGCATGTGACTTTTAATCTCCTTGTTTAAATGTTTGCTTAATGCAATCAGATCATCTTTCCTTAGATTTTCAAATTTTTCCTCGGTAGGTTCCAACATAAACTCTTCAGGCTTAAACTCCGACACAGGACGAAAAAATAGATTTGCTCCAACTTTGCAACCCCCTGCAAAGGTGCCATTGCCGTAATCGCATCAAATTTGCTATTGTGCAAATATTGTTCAAATTTGGAAAGCAAATTGGTAAATAAATGTTTACCCTCATATTGGTAAATACAATTCTCTTTTTTGAGAGGGAATGGGTATAGGATAAATTTGGCTCAAATTACCTTTCATTTGCACAAGTGAATTTGTGGGTATTTTCGTCCATAATTTGGTTTCTAAATTTGCCAAAATATTTGCAACCTTGCAAATTTGATGCGATTACGGCAATGGCACCTTTGCACCGGGTTGCAAAGCCTAGTGCAAATCTGTTTTTTCGCCCTGTGCGACATTATTCCCAATATAACTGGATCACACTGAATAACTGTAAAATTTCGCTACTTTAGACTTTAATTTATTTTTCTCTTCCAAACCAATTTTCTTAAATTTTGCTTTGAACTTTGACTTTTGTGTCAATTACTTGAAATTCGATCTCAATAATAAAATTCTATTTCTTACTAATATCTCTCAATAGAACTCAATTCAATTCAGATTCAATCTTTAGATTCAGTTGTTTCCCGGGCGGGCCCCCATTTTGTTACGAGCGTCGTCCTTAATATTAATATTTCCCGCGTTTTGGTTCGATTTCTCTCGCAACAAAGAATCAGTGTGAGTCAGTTACGTTTATCTAACTATTTATTTCTTTAACTTGCTATATTAAAGTAGCGTCTTTATAATACTATATCCAATTACTATATAATTAAAACTATATCAGTTCAACTTATCTCTTTTCTGTCTGACTGAGCACAACTCTTTCGTCTTCTTCACGTAACGTCGCTTTTTAACTTCAATACTCTTTCGTATATAACTTGTAACAATCTTTCCTTAACAATCTTCTTTATAATAGCTTTTCCAAAATGATATTCACGTAAGGCGCTGAGGCCTATGAATAATGTAACTGAGGCGCTGAGGCCTATTGAATGAATAATGCATAAGAGTTGTGCTCTCCCTTATATATGTTCAGAGAGGAACGTTTTATTCTTGCAGTGTCATTTCGTGGGAAGATTTTTACAATCTTCTTGCGGTAACCGTTCCCGTCCATTACGCACTTGTGGTAACTAAATATTTGCTTGCTCATGCATGACTAAGTTAAAAGAAATTCCCATGCGTAAAACAATTTCCCATAGGTAAATTCTTTAAAGTAAATATAATATAACTAAACTATGATATAATATATATAGTAAAATGTAAATGTATAATATAAAATGTTATAAAATATATACATAATAATTGCTATCATGTAACAAGGGTCTCCGACCTTTATGACTCCCAACTCCTTACAGAAAAATTTCCTTCCAATTTGAAATCCGTCCATGTCAAGGATCCCAACGATGTCTGCTTTACACTGCATGTTGACTGATTGATTGTGATGTGAATTAGATTGTTTGAAACACTATAATCTGCGTTCTTGCGTGCGATATAACTATCGTGTGTACAAAATGTTAATCCATGTGTTAATTTATGCATGCAGTCAACCAACGCGGTAGCTTTGGCAACAACATTTTGCTCTTAAAATCAGTGCGATTTATATAGGGACACTTCTCAAAGTGTCCCATAAGCAAATCCCGGGCGTCCCGTAGAAACGTCCCGTGCGTATGAGCACAAGCTCATAACTGCTCATGAGCACATGCTCATCTGCTCATAAAACTGCAATACTGCTCAATAGCAAGACATTTCTGCACAGTCAGTGCTAACGGAATGAGCTGCCAATTTTGCGGAAAGCAATTTAATCGTGGTTACAATCTACGAAGACCCGAAAAGGAATACTGTCCCCTAGGTGCACAAGAAAGAAACATGTCTCAAACGGACTTGGATAGCCAGGAAAGGGATTTTCAAGACGACGTTTCGATAACTTCAACTGAAGTGTCTGAAATTTCGACGATGACTGATAATGAGTCAGAAACTGAAGAGGAAATGGATCCTTGGATACCGTTAATAGAAGAAGCAAAGCAAATAAGTAATATAGCATTTGAGGAAATGAAAGAAAGCCTTATCAACAGTGGTCTAGATGAACAATCCGCTAAGGACAAAGCTTACTCTAATATTCTTCCTAAACTCCAGAAGGAACTGGAAAATATTTATATGGAGCGTCTCGTGTGGATGAAACAGCTAAAGAAAGATCCAGTTCATAAGAAGATTATGCACACAAAAAATGCACTTGTGGAAAACGATGATTTTGATCCAGAAGAAGCGTTAGAAGCAGCTGTTGATATGAGAAAGTTTCTTATAAAAAGGCTTTTAAAGGGTCACAAATTTGATGAGGAGAATGATGATGATGATGAAGAGAATGATGATTAGACTCGATTAATAGGATTGAAGTCATGTATTCGAACAGTATTAGCACGTAAAAACATACAAGTATAGACCCAGCATGTAAATTGTGAGTCATTCAATAAATTGCTTTTTAATTACTTGTCTTTTCTTGTCATTTTTACATGGGTCAGGCGGGTGCAAATCAAAATGGAAAAAACATGCGAATACGAAAATGTATACATTTGTGTACATAAACTTTGCAGTGGCTTCCACGAAAAATGTACACCCAGTCTTCGGGACTAAACGGGTCTTATGAGCAGATGAGCATGTGCTCATGAGCAGTTATGAGCAGGTGCTCACACGTTCATGCAGGATGAGCATGTGAGCATGTGCTCATGAGCAACTATGAGCATGTGCTCATACGCTCATCGCATAAGATTGTATACCCGACATGATTTTGAAAATCTAACAGTGCAAGATGCCTTTGCGTCACTCAAAAGAAAACGTGAAGAAAATTATGGCACACTTGTTCAGACAAATGTATGTGGATGAAATTGACTATGAGTTGTTCACTCCTGAAAAACTTACTGATTTCGTGTTTACGGAGATCGTATACCGTCAAATTCAGAAACTGGAAGAGGAGACACGCATAAATCAAGATGAAATTGATGGTAATCAATGGTCCTGGTTTGGACAGCGGATTGAATGTTTAGATGAAAAAGAGCGCTGGATGAATTACGCTGAACAGGCTCTGGCAATGCTGAATCATGAAGTGATGTGGCAAGCAATCGTTGAAGCATGCAAGATGTTAAAGTATCCTGAACCATCAGAAACACAAAGAGATTATTTTGAAAAACGTTTTGACATATCATGTTTTGTTTGGCATCAAATATATTCTGAGTTCGAAAGAACTGTTCCTCTAAACAATCTCATGGACTACATTAGCTGTGTTTGTAAATTAAAATACAATTCAACCATATAATGTATTTAAGAAATATATAATTTTAAAACGTATTGTGTTGTTGGCTTTTTCTTTATTCCATGCTGTTGCTTGCAGTATCAGTATCTATTTTAACCATGGGCACTTGCTATAGTAGGACTGATGATAAAGTCAAGAGAAACAAGGATCATAATAGACAGAAAATGTTCAGATTTGGCATTAGCTTTGGTCGTAATGATTTAAATCTGGAGGGCCATTTTCAAATGGGGTACAATAGCAAGACAATTAAGAATTATGGACCCATTGAAAAGCGGTTGGTTCTCCCAGAAAATTTACCTTCAACAATAACAGAATCAAAAGAGCAGACAGTGCTGACTTCAAGGTCGGATACTGAAGCAACTGATGCGTAGTGTTATATTGAAAAGACATCATGTAACTGGTAAATAGAACAATGTGTTCATGGCGTTTGATTTCGTTTTATGTAACCTATATGGGTCTAGCCATAAGAACAGTCTTACGGGACGCAAGGACACGTTAAAATGCGTCCCGTGAGGACGTCCCGTGCGTCCCGCACATAGGGACACACTCAAAGTGTCCCGCAAGCAAGTCCCGGGCGTCCCGTAGCAATGTCCCTGCGTCCCGTTTGATAAAAGGAATAATTTCGCTCGATGCCGCGAACGCGTAAAGACTGTCTGCTGTGCGGAAAGAAAAACCTTTGCAAATTATCAAATCATTTGGCAGACATTCACCATCAAGTGAAGAAAGACGTATTTATCTGAGTGACGCAAAGGCATCTTGCGCTGTTAGATTTTCAAAATCATGTCGGGTATACAATCTTATGCGATGAGCGTATGAGCACATGCTCATAGTTGCTCATGAGCACATGCTCATATGCTCATCCTGCATGAACGTGTGAGCACCTGCTCATAACTGCTCATGAGCACATGCTCATCTGCTCATAAGACCCGTTTAGGCCCGAAGACTGGGTGTACATTTTTCGTGGAAGCCACTGCAAAATTTATGTACACAAATGTATACATTTTCGTATTCGCATGTTTTTGCCATTTTGATTTGTACCCGCCTGACCCATGTAAAAATGACAAGAAAAGACAAGTAATTAAAAAGCAATTTATTGAATGACTCACAATTTACATGCTGGGTCTATACTGGTATGTTTTTACGTGCTAATACTGTTCGAATACATGACTTCAATCCTATTAATCGAGTCTAATCATCATTCTCTTCATCATCATCATCATTCTCCTCATCAAATTTGTGACCCTTTAAAAGCCTTTTTATAAGAAACTTTCTCATATCAACAGCTGCTTCTAACGCTTCTTCTGGATCAAAATCATCGTTTTCCACAAGTGCATTTTTTGTGTGCATAATCTTCTTATGAACTGGATCTTTCTTTAGCTGTTTCATCCACACGAGACGCTCCATATAAATATTTTCCAGTTCCTTCTGGAGTTTAGGAAGAATATTAGAGTAAGCTTTGTCCTTAGCGGATTGTTCATCTAGACCACTGTTGATAAGGCTTTCTTTCATTTCCTCAAATGCTATATTACTTATTTGCTTTGCTTCTTCTATCAACGGTATCCAAGGATCCATTTCCTCTTCAGTTTCTGACTCATTATCAGTCATCGTCGAAATTTCAGACACTTCAGTTGAAGTTATCGAAACGTCGTCTTGAAAATCCCTTTCCTGGCTATCCAAGTCCGTTTGAGACATGTTTCTTTCTTGTGCACCTAGGGGACAGTATTCCTTTTCGTGTCTTCGTAGATTGTAACCACGATTAAATTGCTTTCCGCAAAATTGGCAGCTCATTCCGTTAGCACTGACTGTGCAGAAATGTCTTGCTATTGAGCAGTATTGCAGTTTTATGAGCAGATGAGCATGTGCTCATGAGCAGTTATGAGCTTGTGCTCATACGCACGGGACGTTTCTACGGGACGCCCGGGACTTGCTTGCGGGACACTTTGAGAAGTGTCCCTATATAAATCGCACTGATTTTAAGAGCAAAATGTTGTTGCCAAAGCTACCGCGTTGGTTGACTGCATGCATAAATTAACACATGGATTAACATTTTGTACACGCGATAGTTATATCGCACGCAAGAACGCAGATTATAGTGTTTCAAACAATCTAATTCACATCGCAATCAATCAGTCAACATGCAGTGTAAAGCAGACATCGTTGGGATCCTTGACATGGACGGATTTCAAATTGGAAGGAAATTTTTCTGTAAGGAGTTGGGAGTCATAAAGGTCGGAGACCCTGAAGCCTCGTCGTTCTTTTTCGATATTGGTTTACACTGGAACGAGCTCAACGAGAAAGACAAGAGAACGTGTAACTTCGTCCAGAAGAATATACATAAACTCCCGTTTGGAGTGCCACGGGGCACTAAAGCATTTCAAATTTCGGACTTGCAGGCAATTGTAGAGAATTTCTACCGTGAAATACAGATAGATTCAAACTCTACAATTGCCTTCAAAGGCGGACATTACGAAAGGGACTTGCTGGCGAGTCTCCGTATTCCGGCCGTAAATTTGGAATGCTTTAATTGTCCCAAAGCTGAAAAACTATTTGATCAACTGATCTGGTTAGAAACCTGCGGGAACCACCTGGAAAGCAACGCTTATCAACACTGCGCAAAAGTCGAAGTCGAAGCCTTTGCGATGTGGCTGCAACAGTAAAGACAAACACAAAACACCGGTTCTTTTAAGAACCACCAATTTTACAAAAAAGAATAAAACGAAACTCGTTTATTAACATATTTACACTGAATCTCAAAGTTTACTTCTCAAATATTCCACATATGCCTTATAATGATCTTCTTCATGACTTCTAAATTGCTCACCTGTCGCTTTCACAGTATACTTAAAACTAGGGGGCATTGAAAAAAAAGACCGTAGCCCCAGGCTCAAGCGGGTCATCACGACAATCCTCTTTCCAGCTAGAAATTTCGTCTAAAATTTTGTCCTCTTTCCAGTATGAAAGATAATTCAAAATTGACTCAAATTCACTATCCTCGGTGTTTTCACGAAGATCCATCAGCGAGTAAACAAACGTTGAATCAGGACTTTTCTCTAAATTGTCGAAGTGCTCAAGAACATCTTTATGATACTGTAACATCGTGACTTTAATAGCCTCAACAAACTCCCTCCAAACCATACGCTTAACAATCACTCGCTCTAAGGCTTCCAAACCATACGATTGCCATCTCTCTTGTTCTGATAACATGAGACAGTCATGCTGGCGTTGACTCGGATGGTCGTACTCACAACCACAACATCTCTCTTTAGCAAGTTTACCAACTTCGCAAGCAACAGCCTCTGCATATATAGCTTCTAACAAACTGAAAAGCCTTTTATAATCAGAGGACGAAACTTCGTCTGCATGAACGCTGTTGGCCCAATTCGATTGCTCAAAATTTTGTGAAAAATTCATTTTCAAAGGCTTAGTATGCAATGATAACAGTGAATAAACGCGCAGTTTCTTTTATAGATATGTGCAATACAATTACGTAATGCTTACAAACCGGATACATACAATTGAACGTTCATACTTCATAATTTATGCGGGAATAGCTGAACGTTCATACTTCATAATTTATGCGGGAATAGTTGAACGTTCATACTTCATATTTTATGCAAGTATTTCCGGTGATGTCATTGATGATATGACTTCATACATACATTCGCTTGAATACTAATTACTTCCATTATTGTGAAGGAGGTAACACTAGTGTTGACACTCATGTAAAAATATTTTCCTTTTTCGTTTGAGAAATCACAATGAATATTATATGGTGTTTCTTTTTATTTCAGGTGTACATGCGAACTATGTAAAGTCGATTTACTGGTAAATGAGAGAGGCTCAATGCTGCCATGAAATCGAAGGCTGCTTAGAAGCGTTAGGGACTGAACTAGTTTTACAAGAAGTAGGTGCTGAGCCAAATTGCATAACGCTTCTGGAGGGCGTAAATTTCGAAAAATAGATGGCAGGAAGTATAACGTGGAAGGTGATGAAAACAGACAAGACACATATATGTAATATATATATATATATATATATATATATATATATATATATATATATATATATATATATATATATATATATATATATATATATATATTTATTAAACAATATAATATAGCCATTTTTAACCCTGATAAATTCCCACAATTTGTTATCAATCAGAAAATTTCATTAATATAAAACTATTACAAATATTACATGAAAAGTTTCTTATATTATAGGTATTTCCTAAGTGTTGCCTATGGAGAGTATATACAATTGGTTTATGGATACTTGGGAAAGAGAAGAATACCTTTACCAGCATGTGGTTATCATGCCATAAGACAAGCTTTTGGTGGAAAAGACTTCAAAGGTTTTGAGGATGATGAAGAGTTGGAATGATATCATCATAATAATATTATGCATCCAAAAGTGCCCACCCCCAGGGCTTCTGACATTTTAAATAAATCTTGTTAACCCATTAATCGCTAGCACTCTCCCCTTGACGAGTAAAATCGTCTGGCATTAGAAAGAGTAAAATAATAAAGTAGGGTGCATCAGGGCGCAATGCAACTCAATGGGTTAAATAGACAAATGGGCAGATAGGCCAGTTAACCCATTAAGCACCAGCGCTCTCCCCTTGATGAGTAAAATCGCCTGGCGTTAGACAGAGTAAAATAATAATGTAGGGTGCATCAGGGCGCAATGCGACTTAATGGGTTAATTCCAAGATTGGTAAAAAAGTGGAAAGTTCCCCGAAGTGGGACTGATGTCCGAGGCATATCCCCCATTTGCAAACACTTGAAGTGAGATCAATACAAAAACTGATTTGGATTAATTTTATAAGGCCAAAAAATAATACCAGGGTTCCTGGTGTTTAGAGCTCACTGGTTTGTGATAGATGTATAAAACTCATAAAAATGAAATTAAAAAATTCAAAACCGACCTACTCTTCCTAGGTTTTTGTAACATATAGTAGGAAACCATGGTATTTTTTGGCCTAATTGATTTCAAATGCCTCACCACTGGGTTGAGGTTGGTTTTCAAATGACCCACCCCTGGGAAACATAAAATGAGCAAGTGCCTGTGGGGGGGGGGGTGCACTCTGGATTTGAACAATGCATAAAAAATTAATACATCTGTATAATTTAATCAGCTAGTATGTAGTTTGCAAATGAGTGTAATGTCAAATTTTTTTGTAATTATTTTTTATTACGAGGACAATCCTTAAAGTGCCAGGCATCAATGGTTGACTTTTCCAGACTTATTTCCCTCTGGACATCTTTTGTAGTTGCACATCGTCTCAAGTAGATGGTTCACCTTTGTCAGTATAAACTTCAGCCATTGTTGAGGTTTCACCTTGTTCAGCCGAGGTGGAGGGTTCACCTTCCTCTTTTAGCAATGTACTTGGCCGCTTAGCATTTATTACCTGTTAGGTAATGAATACATATAATTTTAATGAATATATATAGCACGATTTATTATGCATTCTTATATAACATATTCACATTGAACGAAATTAAGGACTGACGACTGGCAATAGTAAAAACATAATTACTAAATGCATTACTTACAGAATATCGGCGATCTCTTGCGGATAAAGGTTCATTTCATCGCCACCCAAGACTAAAATCGTCGGATACACGCAGATACCAAAGTTGTCTATCTTTAGTAGCTGTTTCAATTTTGGTTTCTCAGTCGTCAAACCAACAGCGAATGGTCTCACAAAACCTTCGGCCATAAAATGTCTTGAGCATATCTTCGATGAAGCTGTTGGTTCGAAGTTCAGTCTCTTTTGTTTCACAAAGTCAACCTATCTTTTCCTTCGCTTTTTTTGCCTCTGGCCGATCGTCATTCCCATACGGAATATTGTGCAGCGATATTCCTTCATTTTGGCTAGCAATGTCGGAGCATCCATATGCTACACACCTATGTGGCATCTCTGAACCATGGACGTTCAGCGAAATAAACAAAAAACCGATAAAATATTCTTTTCTCGTGTTTTTAAAAAGGATAAAGTTTTCAATGTTGCTGTTTTACTATAAATGTCCTGTTGTTCTGAAAGCATGTCTTCTCATTCCTACGTCACTTCCGCCTCACAACACAACTAGTTACCAGTAATTGTATCTCACGGTCAAACACAAAAATTTGCCAAAATCCGCAACTTTGAGGCCCAAAAAGTCCATGAAGATGAAATTTTCGTCTTGTCAAATATATTGCAAATGTTCTTAAAATCATCTAAACTATCAGGAAAAATCATTTCCCTGACCCTGATATAGGCACTTTAAGCATTTCAAGGGAAAGGTTGCACTATTTCATTTGCATGATTTATAATTTTTCTTTCAATGACAAACGGCGCTTCATATTGACTCATCCATTGCATGTTTTAGGTTGAATTTGCAGACTCTGTTGAGAAGAAGATTGAGTTCCGGCTTTTGCTGCAGTCTTGCAATAAGGAACATGTCTTGATGTACATCATATTCAGTAAATACAGTTGAGTGTGTACAGGAATGGCAAAACAAAGCATTGTCTTTTCAGAGTTGGACTCGTCTGATTGTTAACTGCAGATAACCCTGGCAAATGAGATGCCCAATGCATCAATCCTGATGATATTACCCATACCCTTATACTGGCGTCATCTTATTGTACATAGTATATATTTACAAGCATGCAGTTGAATTCTTAATGTAGGAAGTTTTGTGTTCATAAAGGATTCCTGTCTTCACATGCACACATAGACTTAAATTAAAATAGATGGCAAGAATGTTAATTTAACATTATCCACAAAAACAAATAAGTAATTTGAAGTTGATCACGAGACCACTTGGTCCAGTTTGTATTCTACAGTAATCCAGCGATTGCAGAATATTTATGGTTGTTATGCAATATCGTGATCAATTAAGTAAGAATGTCCTCATCAATTGTATATAATTACCCTTCTTAAAATGTTAATCAATAATAAGAAGTGTATTAACCCACGTATTAAGTGTATTGACGCAAATTGTTTGTTTGCTGACCATTCTCTCGTGCCCATTGTCAACGTTGCCATTGTCTTCGACAATTTTAGTATCTCCGAAATGCAATTTCTTGTCTTCTGGGGGGTTAGACTACTTAAGAGGCACAAAAACAACATTTTCTGCCCTAAAACGCTGATGCAAATTTAATCGACTTTTGTCAAAAGTATTAACTAGTAAACTTAGTTTTGCTTAGATGGTCATCTTCAAAGTAAATTCAATTAGAGATCGACTGCAGCAATTTTGAGACTAATCGCTCTTTTCGCTGCAGGGGGTGGTTGGGATTGTAACATAGTCATAATATTGTGCACCACTTGTTAGCGCAGATTTTTTCCAAGTTATTGTAAATATATAGTATTATAGATGTTAAGCAAGGCCAGCTTATTGAATGGATTTACACGAACGCAGGTAGCCACATAACTTTATTCACACTTGATACATTTACATAATGCAAAAATACCTGTTGCAACGAGTTTCGGATGTTACGTCCTGTTTCCCACTCAAATTTACAAAAAACCTTTGCCTTGATTGAAACGCACGAATGGTTATGAGACGGTACCATAAGATTGAGTATAATAGCTGCACATTCCTCAGTTTCTTACAGGTGCTCGACTTGAACCACATACTGCATAACGCCGCTGAAGACATACGCTGTGATTTCAAGGTATTCTTACAGGTGCTCGACTTGAACCACATACTGCATAACGCCGCTGAAGACATACGCTGTGATTTCAAGGTAGGATCTTATTTCCATTCTTTACTTACATTCTTTTAGTATATACATGCTTAAAACTAATATGAAACCGACACAAACATTGCTATAGTAATGACTTTATAAATCGAACAACCCAATGGAAAGCATACTTAACGTTAACTGCAATTCGTGTGTGCCGCTACAAATATTACACTTTGCATGCATGCGAACCAATTTACGTACATTAATTTGATTTTGGTTGAATGATGCTGTAATTTGTTACATGTTAGCCATTGGCTAATTTTTTTATCGCTATTCAAGTCAGTTGAGAATAAGTTCCGCAGAATTCTTAGCGGAAAAAAATATCTGTGTGTGTGCCATCGGCATATAAGCACGGGGTTGTGTTATCAAGACTGGGAGATCATTAATGTAAAGTTAAGTTAAAACAATAATGGCCCTAATATAGATCCCTGAGGAACTCCGCAGACTATCTTTTTGGGTGTTGACGTCGTCCCATTGACAAAACACACTTGTTCCATATCAGAAATGTAGGATTCAAACCACTTTAAGGGGCCGATTACATGCAGCATTTTCAACTCCGGGGTCGAACTCAGCCCTGTTAACCGGCTTGAAATTTTTTGCGATTACATGGACGATTTCAACCCCGGGGTTGAAACGTTATACCATACGTTCTCGGCATCTATTTGCGGAAGTAAAAAAGCTTTTATTTTGTTTTCTTGTAATAAATAGTCACTACCACGCATGCTCGATTAACTCATAGTAATTTCAGCCTGGGTTGAAACGATTACATGACAAAACTTTCAACCCAGCTAAAGATAGAGTTTTGTATTACAGACAGGGCTGAAATTTCAACCCGGTAAACAGGGCTGAGTTCAACCTCGGGGTTGAAAATGCTCCATGTAATCGGCCTCTAATTCAATATTTGAAACTCCAAATTAATCTTTCAAGTCGCGCAACTATGCGGATAAGGTAACTTTCGAACTGTCGTTGCCAGTGTTGGTAGTGTACGGCAATACTGTAAGTACAGCAATACTGAATACTATACCCTCTAAATTCCCGACGAAAGACCCTAGCTTGAAACGTCATTTGAATACATTTATACAAAAGACCTAGTCCAGCTTTATGTCCGTATAAACAATATGATATCAGTTTTCATTGTTTTGAGCAGCATTCTTGCATCCAATTAATAAGCATGCCAAACTCGTGATTATCTGCCGAACCCATGCAAATATGAATTTATTTTTAGTAAGAAGCTAAATAATTCCAACAAAAGCAATTCTGGGAGAAAATGGAAAACGCAAGAACGTTGAATTGAGGTTTAATGAGAAATGGTGCCCACGTTGAATTTCACAACTAATTAATTTGTGAGGATTTTAAATAAAATTATTCATCTTTATATAAAACATAGTTCTTATCCTTACCAGTTCATACATTTTCATTTTGGACGCAGGCATTCATCCTTTTTACACCCTGGGACCATTGATTTTGTAATTGAATAGTGGTTAACCGCTTTGGATTACGTAATTGTGATTGACGGAATTTTACAACAACAACATTAGATTTAACTGTGTTTTTAAACAACCGGTCCCTGTGTATGAAAACAACCTCATTTTTGTTTAAGGTGGCTCGATATATTAATCCACACAAAATCCCTTAATCGCGACTGACAAAACATGCTATATGAGCAAACTCGCGTGATCATTCGTGTCCGCGGGAATATTAACGAAAATACTTACTGTGCATAGATGACTAACCCGAAGTTTAAAATTAAGGCCTGAATTTCAGGTTAATAGATGGCTTGACTTGGCGACTCGCCCGTGTTGCGGAAGCACGTTGCATGTCAAAGACATGTAGACCAAATAACTCAAAATGCTAAAGAGGTTCTAAATATTTGAAAACCTTGAACCAGGATCAAAGTTATCGGTCAGTGAAAATCGAAAAGTCGTGCCGCCTACACCGACAAAGCAATAGGCTATTTTAGAGTGAATTTCGTACGCTATATGTTACCAAAACTGACATAATTTGAAAGAAAAAAATATTAAAATAGATGATCATCCTGTTATCTGCTTCATAAAACCTTAAAGGGGAAGTCAAGTCCGTAATGTAAACAAACGGTTTGTTTACATTTTGAACTGCTGTATTTTTTAAAATATGATGTACTGTCTGAATATCTAACACCATTTTGGTTCGTTATGCTTCTACATGAATATGAAATAGAGTTTGTGTTCAGAAAAATTCGAAACATTCAAAATTTGGGCAATGTTTACCTCAGAGGGCCCTCTATTGTTATGCGCAGAACCGATGCGCAGAACGGACTTGACTTCCCCTTTAAAATACGACGTTTAAAACAGTCAAACTTTTACACACCTGAAGTTTTTGAAAATTGTATCGAGCCACCTTAAATTAGTTTGTCGTAGGCAAAGTAGAATATCTTTGGAGCAATCTAGTATATAAAGAGCTAAATGCGACGTTGTGAGCCAAGGGTCCTTTGGTCGGAGGGTAAATAAGATCTAAAAGGGCCGCCTTTGGGTAATCCAATGAACTTTACGCGACGAAAGGCCTTTTGCTTGAAACATCGTAGTTTTCTCCATGCTTTAAAGACCTATACTTTGCCTTCGTTTTTATCCACGCAATCTACGTCTTGCTTCAAAGTGTGTCTTGAAACAGTACTGTGCTTAAAATTTGACACAGTGAATTCATCCAAAATGGTGTCCATTCCCCTTCCGACGTTTGACGCACCGTTTTCAAGTCCTTTGGAAGAAAAATTAAAAAACAAAGCAATTTTTCCAGAGTTTGGCTACGGTAAAAAGCCGACGATATAGTTCATAGTTTTAGGTCACCTGAGATTATAAAACATAAATTCAAGAACTCATTAATAATTCAGGAGGAAAACACAAAGAAAAATCATAAGCGTGTCGTGGTTTTATATGTGATAAAAAATCATGTTAATTTACATAAACTTTAGCTTTGATTTTTTCGGTTTAGACAAAGTTTATTTTAAAAATTACTTCGCCAATGAACTCGTATAAGATGAGTCGTTTTTGAAGCCATTTAAAGCACTTGTGGTCGTGTTTTATCACATATAAAACACTCCCCTACGCGTCGTGTTTTATATGTGATAAAACCCTCCTACGCGTGCTTTAAATGGTACATAATGGACACTCCGTAAACTGATAACAATCTTTATTCTAGACGTAGGCTATTGAAGAGGAGATGGCTGTGAAACTCATTGGGATAACATCATAACAATATAACTGATTAGTATTTTGCCAAATCCACCAATAGCAATTTCCAATTTACCCTATTGTTCCAGTCACAGATAGGTAACTTTCCTAAAACATTGCTATTATTGGTTAGTTGGGCAAAAATACAATACACCAGAATTATGAATAAACGTTGACTAACATGGATAATAAGTAGTAGGTAATTAAAAACTTTACTTGTCTACGCTAACCCCTACAGCAAGAGCTGATTTCCAAGAGGGGCGTAGGTTTAAAAATACAAACGTTACACTCAATTAGGATAAATATATATACAAGACTAACACATTACAATACAATTATACAATTATAATTACTCTACTATGGTCAAATAAATAAAATGTAAAAAAAAAAAAAATTCATAAACTCATTATCTAACTGGCCAGGTGCCGCACACTTAAGTTAAATTGAATAAGAGAACATTTATTTCTTAGTCTATCTGAGAGGCCATTCCACAATTTTGCTCCTCTATAACTAAGACCTTTTTTAAGATATTCGGTCTTAGGTTTGGGCAGCTAGAGATTTGTGGCATAACCTCGTAAGTTATAATGTTGAGACGAAGGCGTCTTTTGAAACATATCAATTAGTTGTTTGGGCGCTAGATCGTGGGTTATTTTGTACATGAGACTTGCTACAAATTGAGTTCTGCGTTCTTTCAATGTTTTCCAGTTTAGTTCATTTAAAGCAAGTTCAGATTGGCCGTGTTCGTTTTTACGACCCGTAATTACTCTAGCAGCCCTATTTTGTAATTTTTTGAGGCGATCAGAGAGTGTGATACCAATAGTATCCCAAACTTCGCAGCAGTAGTCGAAGTGGGGCAATATAAGTGCGTTATAAGCACATATTAATGTATTATGATCCACACAGGGTTTGAGTCTTCTGATCGCTCTAATTCCGGATGAAACCTTCTTAGCAATTTTGTCAATATGCTTATTCCATGACAAAAATTCATCAATACATACTCCAAGTGCTTTTGTTTCTCTCACTCTTTTAATTTGTACATCGCCAACGAACACATTTGGAACAAGGGCTAGATTGTTGACGTTATGCCAAGATCCAATTAGTAGGTATTCAGTTTTAACAAGATTTAGGGATAGTTTGTTTGCAGATAGCCACCGCTTTACGTTAGCAAGATCATAATTAATGGCCATTTCTACATCAGCAACTGATTTACCAGATGCAGTTAATGTCGTATCATCGGCAAACATTCTTGTTGATGAATACTCCAAACTGTTTGGCAAATCATAAATACTAGGTTACCCACAGGGCAGTAATGCTGCCTTTGACAGCAAAAGACAAACTACAGGGTCACCCTAGGGTGTTGAACGAGTCCTTCAGAAACATCCTATTATTGTTTAGCCTGCATGGCAGGCGGTTCCTAAAATTGGGCAAGCCTGGGAAATACCGCCTGCCATGCAGGCTAATTATTGTTATCCTTGTTAACCCATTTATTGACAGTACCCTACCACTGACTGAGTATTAAAAATCGTCTGGCGTTGGACAGGGTAAATACTAAAGTAGGGGTCATTACTGTGCTGATGAATTAACAAGAGCCATTGGCAGATAGTTTTGTTAACCCATTTACTGGCAGTACCCTATACCACTGACGAGTAAAATCTTCTGGCGCTCGACAAGGAAAGGGCGCATTGCCAGCTAATGGATTAAACCACCGTGGTTAAACATAAGATTTCATGATGCTCCAGGAAATGTAAACAAGCTATCAGTGTGACATCCCAGTTTATATATTTATATACTCGGAATATTGATTTCTCGGTACATACAAAATTATTTAAAAGTATAACAACCAGCGAAGACGTAAGGCACTAACTACCCTGCGCGGCTGCGCGCAGACTATATAATGACATATATATGTCATCCGTCCGGTCCGTCCGTCATTCATCCGTCCGTCCGTATCCGCGTTTTATCCTAACCCGTTTTTAAAACACAAAGTTTGCATTTAATCTATGATTAAGGCAGTGCGGTTCGTCATGATCAATATTTTCAAAAGCGGCCAATTAGACCAGGGGTTAAAGGGCAATGACAATGACATGCAGGTGACATTTAGGGGCCATTCACAAAGGATGTCCGAGCCAAGGGGGGGTGGAGGGGGGTTTGGAAAATCAGGACAAACTCGGACATAGGGGGGAGGGGGGATTTTTTGCAATCCGGATGTCCGAAATTTTAAAAAATTCAAAAACAAATTTCTTTTTCCCTCTATTTTGAGCAGTCCTTCTCATTGTGAAATTGGCATTTTGACTCTGCGGTTAACACTAGAATTTGTTTTAATGAGTAATTTATATATTTTTGTATTCACATTTATAGTTATAAAAAAGTTCTAAAAGTAAAAAAAGTTTTTTACTCTTGACATATACAAGGTTGTGTGAGTTTTTGCGAGGCATGGTGGATGTCCGGGGGGAGGGGGTGTCACTAATTCGGACAATGCCGGACAAGGGGGGGGAGGGGGGTCTGAAAATCCATCATTTGGCCGGACATCCTTTGTGAAGGCCTTAACATTGCGTCTCACTAATTAAAATTTGCGTGTTTAATAGTGTTTATCAAAGAAAGCAAAAATATATACAAGACAATCTCACATGTGGAGTTTTTTCACTTACAGTACGTACTGCCTTGTGATGCAGTACAAGTATAAATACAAATGACAAAGCATTTGTAAATCCTAAAACATAATTAAATCATACGGCACATTTAAGATTTTAATATCATATTTCAGCCGCGTTTATACTGTTTGGCGCATTCGCTGCGTTATATTCATTTACATGTATATACACAGAAAAGCATGTCATTGTCCTTGCAGACCATAGGCAAAAAGCATTTGTCAACCATGCACATACCAAATTTAAGCAATCGTTAAATCATATACATGTCATGGAAAGAATATGGAAATAATGTTGAATGAAAGCTAGCATCGCGTATAATATTAAAAGCACCGCATATAGTGCTCGAACCACTGCGTATAATTGCAAAAGCATCGCGTATATAAATGGTGAAAGCACCGCGTATAATACTGGAACCACCGCGTATAATGGCGAAAGCACCGTGTATAATGCCAAAAGCACCGCCGTATAATGCTAAAAGCACCCAACAAAATGCCGTTTGATCACTTTAAGCCAGCTATGGCTTTCCATAAAAGAAGACCAAAGATGAAACATGATCACATTGCCTGTTTACCTTATGCCTGACCGCGCTGCACCACGGTTAAAATTCACTGGTACCGTCATGCAATGCGCCAAATAGAAAATTTTGATTTCGACCCACAAAACAAAATTAGGATCTGCTGCCTTGCTCGCTCGCTTCAGGCTCGCTCGCTGCGGCAGCAATAAACCAAAAATAGGAGCGGACCAAGAATTGAGCCTTGAGGGACTCCACATGTAATTAATTTTTTACGAGAAAGTGTGCCATTAACAGAGCACATTTGAGTTCTGTTTTCTAGATACGATTTTAGGAGGTTTAAAGCTGATGTTTCTAAACCATAAAAATCAAGTTTTTTCAATAATACAACGTGGTTAATAGTGTCGAATGCCTTTTGCAAGTCGAGAAAGACTGCAATATTAAAAAAGCCACGATCCATATTAACAAACCATTCATTTGTGCTATCTAAAAGGGCGGATGCTGTTGAGTGACTACGTCTAAAACCGAATTGATGTTGGGATAGTAAGTTATTTGTAACAAGATAATCGTGTAACTGTTCGTATAATACTTTTTCGAAAACTTTACTTTCGAAAACTATAATGAGTTATATTGTTATCCTATTGAGTTTCACAGCCATCTTCTCTGTTCTAGACGATTGAAGAATTGTTAGTATAGTGTCCATGTTTATAGCAAGTGCGCAAAAGCAAAGTACTAATCCCCCTGGATTTTAATATTTGATATCCATTTCTGGGGATAAAACCTCACGCACGCGAATTTGCTCAGCAAGGGAAATGGCGTAAAAAGTGGGTAAGCTCAAAGTCGACCGAAGAAATTATTTGAACAATATCCGTTCTTTCAATGCACACGCACCACGTCTCAAAAGGGGATTTTTAATATGCTTTTTTAAATAATTAAAATGACCAGTCATTATTTGCTGTAATAAAAAGCTGTTCATACTGTACTAATAACTCCCTAATTTTACGTAATGCTAGTTTTTTATTGAGCTGCCAGTACATTCAATAGAGTTTTTATGGCTCCATTTTAAAGATCAATGAAAATCATGACTTTTTCATACGCATTTTCCGGATTTATAGGAATATTTTCAAGAGAAGGTTGTCTTAAAGTTTCTAGAAACTCATTATGCAGTATGACGAAATTGATACATATCACGTACATACAATAAACAAAGTCAAATA